CCAGACACCAGGCTTTGAGGTGCGCAGCTACTGCTCTGACATCGCGCCCCTTAAGTGTCCCTCGCCGGTTTCCCGAACCAGTGAGCTCCCTTGACTCATCTCCAGGGACAGCTTATGTTATGCCACCCGGAGCCTGGGTCAGATAAGCAGCCTGTGACCCAGGGGAACCTGGCGGAAGGGGCTTGAGGAAGGCCGGGCTTTCACGGTGATGAAGTCTCCATGGCGTTGGGTAGAAGCAGGAAGAGCCTGCCCTTAGCGTATCATCCACTCCCACTGGCCTTCCAGGTCTCTCGGGTTATGTTGGACACCTGGCACAGGGCAGCAGCGTGTGTGCAGCAGGGGAGGGCAGGGGTGGGGAGAGGAGGGGAGGGGAGAGGAGGGGTGAGGTGGGGACTCTTCTGTGGTCCGTGGTGACAGGCATGGGGTCCATTTGACATCAGGATGTGCTGGTGTTTGGGTTCCTCCGACCACTTCAGATACTGACTGGGATGAGGACAGAGGGTGCAGTTGGGGAGAGTTAAGCAAGGAGGTGGCCAGGATTTGTTCTGATTCTCTTCTGTGACACATCAGTGTGATCTAAAACCCAACCAGATCCAAAATCCCAGATCCAAAATCCGGGTCTGAGTGATGTGCTGAGGAGGGGACACTGGGTTTTTTGACAGGATGCCCTTGGCCTGAGAGGGCGTGGTGGCCTGTGGCGGGCGCAAGGGAACGGAAGGTGCTTAGGGAGGTCAGTGAACCCCAATCCTTTATGTGAAGATCAACTTTGACGAGCTGGGCACTGGGTCGTGCAGACTCCTGGGCACTGGGTCGTGCAGACTCCTGCTTCTTGATTGGAGGGTGCCGGGCAGGAACATTTATGAGCAACAGTGTTTGTCTTTAAGAAGGAGCATTAGGACAAGGGAAGGTGATTCTGCAGATTCTGTGAGCGTGGGAGCCAGAAAGTTCTGAGTTCTGAGACTGCTTCAGCTCCATTAGAAGCTGGAGACTGGGGCTGGGGAGCAAACGTGCTGGCAAGCCTGAAGATCTGAGTTCCAATCCCCGAACTCTTTTAAAACCGGGCACTGTCCCCAGAGTGGTGGAGGTGCACTTGGGAGGCAAAGGAAGGAGAATCTCTGTGGGTTCAAAGTCAGCCTGGTCTGCAAAGAGAGGTCCTAGAGAAACACTGTCTCTCAAGTCCTAAGCAAACATCAAAGGCAGTGTGGCACACTCGTGACATTCGAATTGATGTTAGGGATGGAGACAGCTGAGTTCCTGGTTCACCGAGAGACCTTGTCTCAGGGGCATAAGGGGAGAGTGACAGAGAGGGACATGCAGCCCTCCCCTGGTCTCCATGCCCGTGCAGAGAAGCATATAATGGCATACAAATTTACACACACACACACACACACACACACAAATAATATAAAAACTAAATGTTTAGCGGTGTTGGAGTTAGTCTCTGAACTCAGAGTGGCACAGGGGTCAGATAAGCTCACAGCCCTGATAGCACTGGTCACTGAGACTCGGGGAAAGGACTTATTTGGGGTTTAGGCAAGGAGCTTTTGTGGAGAGGACCAGTCTCACTGCTGTTCTTGTCATCCTGTCCTAAATTTTCTGCTTCTTTAATCAAGCTTCCCTGCCTGTGGACCCTTCCACAGTCAGGTCTCAGAGCACAGGTGTCATCCAGTGTGATCCAGTGTCAACAGAACCAGAAGATACGGGTTCTCATACCCAGGCACCATCCTTCAGGCAGAAGGTGTCCAGCCTCCAAACTCAGAGGCATGGCTCAGACATCCTCATCATGCCTTAGGGCGGGAGGGGTCTGTGGAGGCCTGCAGAGAGACTCAGCTCCCAGCTCACCCCCGCCCCTCCATACTGCCACCAGGTGGATCCTGCTGTCCATGAAGAAATACGGTGAGAAGCTGAAGGATGCCCGGGAAGGGAAGGGAAGGGACCAGACCCTTCCATCCTCCCCGTAAGTCCTTCCTCTCAGTGAGCAGCCCAGCCTCACCTTCCAGCCCACAGCCTGCCGAGTCACCCTGACACCCCATCTCCGCCCCCTCCATGCTGCAATCTCCTTGTTTTCTGAACCTACCCCAAAGCCCTGGAACTTCTCTCTTAGTCCACTTCCTGCCTCCAACCACTTTACCTTAGGGGCAGATTGTGGGCTATCTCTGTCTATCACTGTGGGATTCAGAGTCCTCCACCCCAGGCCACCAGGCCACCTCACAATCCCTGTAGCCCAGCTAAGACATTACCGCTATTCTCATCCAGACGTTACTGTCACCCTACATCCTCAACCTTGAATTCTGTCCCCCAGTCCTGTTGCTGGGAACACAGGTCCCATGACACATCCTGGTTTATCACACAGCTAAGAGATCTAGTCGGAGACCACCAATAACCCCCAGCCCCTGCAATGTGGAATTGGAGCTCTTGAATTTTCTTCTTATCCTGACTCCACCTGAACTTTCATCAGTGGGGCGGGGGGGGGGGGCGGGGGTGGTCAAAGCCCGGGATCTCTGTAAGAGCTTCCCGGGTCTCCATCCTTTCAAATTTGCAGTCTAGTTTGCCCCCGCTTCCCACCCTGCTCTCTCACCCCTACAGAGGACTCTCCCCCAGCAAGCAGGCATCACCCATGGGAGCCCAGCTCCTTTTCAGGAACTCTGTCCCTGAGAAGCCACAGCTTCCTCCCTCCCTCATCACATGCCCGCTCACCCCAAACTCCCTGGAGCCAAAATCCAGTCGCTGACGTCACCTGCTGTCCCCAGTCTGCTGTCTGAGGTCAGCTTGGTGCTCAGAGCACAATGTCTCTCTAATCAGGGCGTCTACCACTCACACGCCAGGTGGTACTCCTAAATTCCAGCACCCCTCAACCCTGACCCCACTCCCAGTCTTGGTCTTCTGCCCACGTCCCTTCACATCCATGGAAGGGACCCCCCACTCCCGTTTCCATGCCAACCCTGGGCCCCACCCAGCACTCCCTTCTACAGGTGCAAGCCCCTGCCAGGATCATCGGTGACTGGAAGGTGTGAGAAACATTCCCACCCTGGCAGGTGGTTGTGTATCACTGAGATGCCGCTGTGGGGGGTCCTGATGCACCCCCAGTGGGTGCTCATAGCTGCTGACTGCATCAGCCCATAGGATGGGCTGGGGTGTGGTCTGTGGCCAGAGCCTGGCATGGTAGAGGCCCTGGGACCCATCTTCCAACACATTAGTAGGAGAAGGGCAGGGAGAGGGGGAGCTTCTATTCTTCAAGGAAGAGCATTCCACCCTCCTCGTTGGAAGACCTCGTGGGAGGCAGGGGTCTGAGGGATGAAGGATGGTGAAGGCTGTCTGTGGGCGGCAGAGCTGGGCTGGCCCACAGCCACTCCGTGGCCGACCACCTGGTTCTCTCCCCGTGTGTCCCCATGGCCCCGTCTCACTGTCCCTTGGCATCCTGTTCTCTGTGTGACGATGTGGAATTGTGTTTGGGTTTTGGGCTCTCCTCTTCCCTGTCTCCATGTGTGTGTCTCTCCTATCTCTGTCTTCCTCTGGATGTCTCTTTCTGTCGCTATGTGTCTCCCTCTCCAGATCTCTGGCCAACCTTCTCAGGGTCTCGGTCTCACTGTCCCTCCTCATTACTGCTGGCCACACTGAAGAACAGGCTTAAGTGGGACCTAGCAGACGGGAAGCCGTGTCCCCTGTGTGCCTGTGTGAGAGAAGTCTTCAGTTTCCCAAACCAACCTGGCACTGTAGGCCCCTGTGCCCTCTGGGGACACAGAGAGAGGCTGGGCTGAACTAATCTGATGAGGGCACTGGGTGAGAACAGAGCGTGGGCAGGGTGCTGTGGCCACACCCCCAGGGGCCAGGGAAGCTCAGACCAGCCCCGGGGCACCTGAGTGGCTCTCGGGTCCTCTCCCTGTCTGGTCCATCCCTACTCCCTCTACTTCCTGCCTCCCTTGCCCACTCTGTCTGTTGTCCTCTGCCTTCCTCTGTCCCCAGTCCCTTCCCCCCTGCTCGTCCCGTGTCCTTGCTGCTCCTGCGAGTTCCCATGTGGCTCTTCTCTTCCCCCTTCCTCCGTTATCTTTGTAACTCTCTTGTTTTAATCACGTGTGTGTGGTGCATGTGTGTGTGCTGTTGGTGTGTGTGTGTGAGCGTGTATGTGTGCGTGTGAGGGCCAAAGGCCGGTGTCAGCTCTCTCCCTCTCTCGCGCTCCAGCTTATGTTTTTAACCTTTTTCGTCACATCTATTTGCTTTGTGTGCGTGAATGTGTGTGTGTGAGTGTGCACGGCATTGCACACAATTGGGGATCACAGTCCGCAGTAGCCGGTTCCCTTCATCCACCATGTGGGTCCTGGGATCAAACTCAGGTCACATGACTTGGCTACAAGTGTCTCTACATGCTGAGGCCCATCTTTATTTTTTAAGTCACCTTAATAAAAAAATGTATATATGTGAGTGTTTTGCCTGTGTGTCTCTGTCTGTGCACTATGTGTGTACCTGGTGCCTGAAGACCCGAAAATGACCTGGAGCTGGAGTTACAGGCAGCTGTGAGCCATCATGTGGGTGCTGGGAATCAAACCCAGGTCCTCTGAAGAGCAGCTGGTGCTCCTAACCACTGAGCCACCATCTCTCCAGCCCCCCCCCCCATTTTTTTCAACAGGAGCTCAAACACTCAGCATAGCTGGCTGTGTCCTCAGCACAGGGATTGCAGGCATGTGCCACTCAACCACATCTTCTCGTACGTTCTGAAGGTCCGAAGTCGGGTCCTCACACCAGTGCAGCAAGCACTTTACCCACCGAGCCTCTGCACAGCCGGGGGCTCTGTCTTTTCCGTGTGTCCGTCTTTCTGTCTCCCCTTTCAGCATCCTTTGCTGCTCTGCTTCCCATGCTCTCTTCCCTATCCCTTTCTCCTCTCATCCCCCTTTTGCCCAGACTCATCCTCTCCTTCCTCATCCTGCCTCCTCCCTAGCAACAGCACGGTGGGGCTGGGTCAACACAGCCTGCCTCCCACACCCGCTCTACAACATGAACCTCCTAAAAACATGTGCTGCTGCGGCTGCGGGAGCCAGTCAGCATCGCGGAGGCTGGGAGGGCGCTGAGCCTGCCCACTGAGGAGCCGGAGCCTCTGCCTGGCATCTGGCTGGGGCAGCTCCAGGCCTGGAACAGGAAGCACGTTTCTGGAAGAAGCTGGGCTGGTGTGTTGCTGTGGCCCTGCCATGGCTGTGTTCTCCTGGCCTACAGCTGTAAGTGCAAGGATGCTACAGTGTGGACCTCTGTCTCCTGTCCAGCGATGCCTGTAAGACAGCTTATTTGCAGAGGGGAAGGTGGCAAAGACATTCACATGGTGAGTAGTCCCATCCCCTAGGACTCTGAGTGGACAAGAGTAAAGGGACCTGATTCTGAACTGAGATCCAGCCAGCATCTTCTCAGCTGCTTAGAAAGTGGGTGTCAGAAGCCTTCCCTGCTCCAGCCCTGCCCCTTCTTCTCCCACATCCAGGGGTCTCAGCCTAGGAACACCTCCTCTTAGGCATCTCCCAGGTGCCCGAGACCACCCTAGACTTGGGCAGCCAACAGTGAGCAGAGAGCAGCCCCTCCCACACAGAGCACCATTGGAGGGCCGGGACGCTGCTCCTCCTGGGTCAACTGCCCCTGCTCATCACAGACAGAGAAGGCAACATACTATCCCATCCACCTTGGTGAGTTCATGAGTCACTGGGTCAGCCTCAGGAGCATGGGCGACTCAAAGGCAACTGTATCACCCAAAAGCCTCCCCAGCATAGGTGACGACTCAGGAAAGTTGCTCCTCTGGCGTCCCCTGCGGAACTTCCAGCAGTTCCGCTGAAGAGCATCCCCTCCTGAAGGGCCCCCTGAACCCCCATGCTCAAGCCAGGAAGGGGGTTTAGATGTGGAGAACACAGCTCCACAGAGAGGCAGCCACAAACGTGAAGCACACTTCGGACATGATGGGGTGGGCGTCATAAGGTAGAGCAAGAAGCCTGGCAGGGCAAGAGGAGCACCTGTGGCAGGAGGGGGTGTTGTGTGCACGGGGAGATGAGCAGAGGGGAAAGCAAGTGCCAGGTCCCCAGGTCCCCAGGTCCCCAGGTCCCCAGGTCCCCATGCGCCGGAGAGTTTGAGGGACAGCCAAGGGGCTTGTGACTAGATAAATGTCAGCAGACAGAGTGCGAACAGGGATCAGAGCAGACACGAGGTCGCTCTCTTCAGGGTCTCAGCTGGGCCACGTGGGAGGCTTTTACCCCCTGTAGTGCAGAGTGCAGAGCAGGGAAAAGCTGGCTGTGCTCACAAGCGCCCTCTGGTGTCCGTGAGATCAGGCCGCAGGAAGGCAGATGTATCTCAGCTCTGAGCTGGGTGGAGGCTCCAAGTCTGGTTTCACCTACCACCTTCCTCACAGGCCTTTGCCTCAGTCTCTCTTACTGCACTGCCTCCAAGAAGTCCTTCTAATTTCATACTGGCCTTTCCCCGTCTCTGCTTACAGTGCTCTGTGTCTCCCAGTGCCTGGGCCATGAGGTATCTATTTTAGTGAGGTGTCTATTCTAGAAAAGTTCATGGGAAGGAGGTCATGAGGTGACCCTGGGTGGAAGAGCTGCCTCTGCCTGGGGACCCTGCTTTCTGATCCCCCACTGACTTGGGGACCCTGCCCTCAGTACAGGAGCTGCACACATTTCCCTTCCTCACTCCCCAGGGCTCTGGGCTACCCCCCTTTTGGAATGCTATCCTGCATTCTCCTGGAAGGCAAAGCTAGGAGGTTGCAGTCAAGTCTCTGTTGGTGGCCACTCTACCTCTGTGCCTTCTTCCCTTAGGGTGGCTCCGGAGGCCCACTCATCTGTGACGGGGTGCTTCGAGGGTGGTGACCCCTGTGCCCAGCCTAGACAGCCTAGCATGTTCTCCAAGCTGAAGCTATACAAGAAGTGGAACGAGGTCACCGTGAGGAACAGCCCATGAGGTCCCCGTGTCTCCCTTAGTAAACTGACGCCTACCATCCTGTCTTCTGCACTGTCCCCCTTTTCTGGGCTCTAGGCACCTGGGGGCCCAGGACTCATCTGGCAGAACCCAAACCCTCCTAAGCCTCCCAACTCAGGTGCCGGGTATGAATTCATCACTTAGCAGGAAGAACTGAGACATGTGGGAGCCAGCGGGCCTCAGAGGGGCTCCATGTGCTTCTCCCATCTCCAGAGCACAGCGGGTCTGGAAACCTCTCAAGCAGAAGGAGATGGTGGTGGTGACTCTGGAGTGTGTGTGGAGGGTGTGTGTGTGTGTGTGTGTGTGTGTGTTTCAGAGATGGACGAAGGGTCACCCGGGAGACAGGACCAAGTCCCATGGTGACAAATGCATGAAGCCCTGAGCAAGGCCCAAGGCCCACACAGTGGGCACACAGTGGGTGGTGCTAAAATGTCAACACAACTGGGCACAGAGTGGGTGGTGCTAAAATGTCACCTTCATTCTTCTGGAGGCAGCAGGATGTCTGAGGCCATTCTGAGCAGAGGAAGGCGTTGACCCCATGTTACAGGGCTGGGCTGGAAGCAGGGTGGAGAAGCTTATTCATCTGTGGGTGTTGGTGACCACAGACCACAATTAACAGTAGGACTCACAGCCACCAAAGATGCGGCGCTGAGGTGAGGCCCGGGTGAAGACCATGGCAGTGAGCAGACAGAGATCCAGAGATAAGCTCCCGGTGGACGGTGGAGCCACCTGTCCAGTGCTCCTGCGGACAGCGGTGTGTGAGGGCCTGTCCAGTGTGGGGAGGCCTCCTATCCACAGCAACCGGCCCAGCCTGGTGTGTGGGGTGCTTGCTCACTGGTCTCTGTACCCCTGTACTCAGAGGGTCCACATGATTGGCACGCGGTCCATCTCCAGTGTCACCAGGGCACAGCCCAGGACCCCAGATACCGAAATCCAGGTTCACACCTGCAGTCACACTGCCAGCACAAACTGCAGCTGATGTCTCTACTGCACTGAGACCTCTCAGGCTGGGAAGTCGGAGGCATCCAACAAAGTCCCCAGAAGGGACTCAAGTGAGGGTTCTCTCGTAGTCAAGTTCCCTGGGCTCCTGAGAAATCTACTGTTCAGGTGATGAAGGAAGAGACAGAGTGCGGAAGAGGAGAAAAGAGGGGAAAGGTGAGGAAGAGGGAAATGGAGGAGAGAGGGAGAGAGGAAAGAGGGAGTAGGGAAGAGAAGAGAGGGATGTGTGAGGAAGCCGAGTGGACCCCGGGACAGGTGGGCCGTGGAGGGGCACTCGGGAGAGTGCAGGTGTGGGACAGACCCTGCACTCACTGGGGACAGGGTGGTGACGCCATGCTTTTTCTCCATACGCTTGTGCATGAAGGAGCCCCACCCTGAGTCCACGGGGTGGAGGGATTCCCAACACTCCATGTTGTACACAAGGAACCTCAGGGTGTGTGTCACAGCTGGGGAAGCAGGGCTTGGCTGGGCGTATGGGACCTCACAAGGCTGTATTCGGGATCAGGATGACAAGAGGTACTCTGAGAGCCAGGCTGAGGTTAGTGGACTCTGGTTCTCCCGGGGAGACTGGAATTGTGGTATCAGCATCCTTGAAGGCTGGCAGGATGTGAGGACCTTGCGAGGCACTGCTGGAGGTCCCACTGGTGGAGAAAGTGGCTGGATTGGGGGCTTTCCGTTGGCTGGAACCCTGTGGGCCACTGAGGCCTCCTGGTGACAGACCCTGAGGCGGAAGCTGTTGCTGAGTGCCAGTTCAGACCACACTGTTTGGAGGCCACTTTGATATGAGCAGGTTTGGAGGACACTGGGTGGGACTGGATCCCTCCCTCACAGTCACCTATGAAACCCAGGTGCATGGGCTGCAGGGCTGCAATTACTCAGTAGAACAGAGTCTGAGTCACTGCTGTGACTCCGGGATAGGACGTGATGTCCCGAGTTACCCCAGGAGCTGAAACGCTGTGAGATTGCACCCTAACAGGAGGCTGAGTAAGAACACGGGTGCTCTGCTACCCCTTCCAACTGGACAAGACAAAGTGCCCCAGGAAAAGTTGCCTCTTCTGGAGGCTTTAGGACTAGGGTGAAGGCCACCTAAACTGTAGACTATGACATTGTCTGTGTTCACCCGCATGTCTCCCTCTACAGCAAACTCTGCCGTCTTCTACACAAAGCTTTGTGCATCTCAGATGAATTCGTTTTGATGGAGATCACAGGGACTGGAGAGCCAGGGGGGATCCAGGGTGGAGTCCTGGTGACTGTGCCTTAGAGTGTGAAGGGGCATGTGATGACCAAAATATTTAAGTTGGATTCCAAATTGAGTTGAAAATGTCCTGATAAGCATACTGAAGGAGATATGACAAGATATTAACAATATTAAACATGAAAACATAAAACAGGCCAGAAAAATACTTGGCAGGAAAGATTTAACAGCTGAAAAAGGAAACTTTCAAAATGTGAGTATCTGGGACGGGCAGATGACTCAGTCAACAAAGCACTTGCAAGTGTGAGGAACTAAGTTCGGATCCCAGCACCTACAGCAATCTCCACTGAGGGTGGGCATCCTGGCATCTGGAATGGGGCTCTGTGCTGGCCCTTCCAGGGTCCCACTGGACACAGATTAACCTTCTTTCTGGTCCTTTGTGCCTGCCCTGTGTCCCCATCAGTGTCCACCCGCACAGTATCCCCTTTGCCAGTCTCCAAGATTCAGTTCTGCGAGTCTGACTCTCCCTGCATTTTCAGCAACTTTCCGCTTCCACCTCTAAGCCTGAGAGACGCCTGGATACTGACTTAGCAGGGTGATATCTGGACACTGGGTCTCTAGTATCTGGGTCTGCAATTCTGAGTCTCTACTAATGGACTTTTGGATGGATGACGGTGTCACCCTTGACAATCTCTATTGAGTTCTGTGAACATGTCTGACGTTAGATAATTTATCTGTTGAACAAATTGACTAACCCTGTGAACCTGCTATAAAAATATCATGTGCTACTGATGAAAATAATCATTGTTTATTAAGGAAGTTCTGTCTTTCAGACATTATCATGCACACACAAACAGAGAACTTCCCTGTACCCTTAAAACAACAGGTATCTCACAAATTAAAGAACAGTGTAATCAAATAAATTCTTCAGATAAACAGAGCTGATACATTGAATGCCAAGAGTTTAGGCTGGGAATATACTCAGTGTACCACATTGAGTATGAGTGATTCACCCACAAAGCTCCTTGCTTGGACCCACAAACCCCCATAGTGGAGATTTGGAATAACACACCTAGCCACAGACACCAACATGTAAGAACGCATTAGACCAGATTCCAGCAACTCCCAGACATAGAGCTGGGTGCGCGATACATGTCAGTATCTCCCCTGTGCAAACTTCTGAGACCCCCTTCTGGCACATCATATGGGACATAAGCTATCCAAATTTATACTGGGAACTAAATTAGATCTTATTTTTACATCCAAACATGTCTGTGTTTACCCATGTCTCAACCTTGCAATATTAATTTATGCATATGAACTCCAATGTTGTGGTTATTGAAGCTCCGCCTGTGAGGGTCATCTAACAGTGTCATCCACATTGATACTCTGACATGGGTCCACATCCATGGCCACATCCTAGTTACTGCTGTGATGGTACCCTGCTCCCTGGTCCCAGTTTCTATCGTAGTCACTGTTCTGTTGCTGTGGAGAGACACAATGACCAAGGCCACTCTTACAACAGGAAGGATTTAATTGTGGCTGGCTTACAGTTTCAGAGGGTGAGTCCACCATCTTTGTGTCAGGAAGCTTGGTGACGGTGACATGCGGGGCAGTGGTTAGAAGCTTTACATCCTGACAAACAGGGAAAGAGGAGACACTGGGTCTGGTGTGGGCTTTTGAAACCTCAGAGTCTACCCCCAGCAACACCCCTCCCCCAACAAAGCCACACCTCTTAGCTTTCTAAACAGTCCCCCACAGAGGACTAAGAATGCAAATCGACGGCTCACGGAGGCCATTCCAACCACCACACAAGCCTTTCTTTGTCACTGAGTCTGACTGACAAAGGCAAGCTCTGGGAGCAAACCTTCACTTAGTATGTGTGACAAATGGGTGGTTTTCATGACTGGTTCCCTACGACTGGACCTACTGCAGCCACAGTCCTCATCTCCATCCCCAACCAGAGAGAACCTCAGCCCTGTGCCCCCTCAAGCCTTCCCTTTTATAGAAAATAAGGCAAATGGCAGAAATAAAGAGACACGAGGCTCCAGAAAGGCAGAAGGCTGCAGGTGTGGCTCCGTTGGTAGACTGCCTGGGTTCAAACCTCTGCACCTCACAAATCAGGCATTAGTACCAACGCTCTGGAGGCAGATCAGAAATTCAGATTTATCCTTGTCTATATCATGAGTTCAAGGCCAACCTGAGCCATGAGGCCCTGTCAAAAAGAAAAAAGGGAGGTGACAAAAATAACTGAAAGTGTCTTAGGGTCACTACTGCTGTGATGAAACTCCACGACCAAGAGCGAGTTGGGGAGGAAAGGGTTTATTTGGTTTACACTTCCATGTTGCAGCCCATCAACGAAGGAAGTCAAACAAACAAGGAACCTAGAGGCCATGGAGGGTGCTGCTTACTGGCTTGTTCCCTCTGGCTTTCTCAGCCTGCTTTCTTATAGAACTCAGGACCACCGGGTTCAGCCCACCATGGGCTGGGCCCTCCCCCAGAAATCACTAATTAAGAAATTGCCCCACAGGCTTACATACAGCCAGATCATATGGAGGCATTTCTCAACTGAGGCTCCTTCCTCTCAGATGACTCCAACTTGTGTCAAGTTGACATAGAACCAGTCAGGACAGAGAGGAAGGAACAGAAGCCGTAAGTTCCTGTAGAACAGGCCATGGTGAGGGGAAGGCGTGAGGAGAACCCTGTTCTCAAGGACGGCAACACAGCTCTGAGGATTGTGGCCTCTGTGTCCCATATCCAGGCTGGAAAGTGACCTTGTGGACTTTGACACCTTTAACCCGAGCTTCTCAACCTCTGCCCACACTGAGTGCTGCTGTTCAACTCGCTAGAGAGGCAGGCTCAGCATCCTGGGTACCGAGGCTGGGAGCCAGGGCCTGGCTGCTGGAGAAGCCCTGGAGAAGACAAGGGACTGACTCCCAGATCCTGGGGGAGACAGGTGCTAGCACCTAGGCCCAGACCCTCAAATGCTCTTCATCTTTTTGCCCAAGATTACCCCTCTTTCAACAACCCACGAGTGCAGACTCCAGCTCCAGACCCAAAGCCCCAGGCCTGGATCCTCTCCCTCATCTCAAGGGGCCACACCCAAGCCCTCATCTCGTAAACCAGGCCCTCCTCCCTAGAGCCCGTGTGTCCAGCCTCTTACCCAGGGCCAGAACAATTTCTGGTCCTTGTTCTTCAGACACAAAAGTGGTGGTGGCTCCCTCGTCCCTCTGACAGAGGGGGGAAGTCCCTGTGAATTCACTCAGGCATCACCTGGTGACTAGTCCCTCCAAGTACAAGTCATGCTTTTGGCAGCACAGCCTGGGCAAGGACCTGGGAGACCTGGACTCTGGCTGTGTTGTTCACTCTGTGGTGCCGCCTCACACGGGGCCTCCCATACTCACGTGCCTGGGTTCCCTCAACTGCACACAGGGTCATGGTCAGGGGATTTTAGGGATACAGAAAGGGGTGTCACACCTGTGAGATTAAAAAGAAACAGCCGGGCGTTGGTGGCACACCTTTAATCCCAGCACTCGGGAGGCAGAGGCAGGCAGATCTCTGTGAGCTCAAGTCCAGGCTGGGTGAGCTCCAGTACAGCCATGGATACACAGAGAAGCCCTGTCTCAAAAAGAAGGAAAGAAAGAAAGAAGGAAAGAAAGAAAGGAAAAGAAGGAAGGAAGGAAGGAAGGAAGGAAGGAAGGAAGGAAGGAAGGACAAATGTCTTCTTCCTTGACACCGTCTTCTCCCCTGATCTCTGTGCTCAGAGACTGTAACTCAGCACTGACTCCCAGGGACCCCAGCCACCAACACTGCTCTGTAGAGATGCACTTACAATTCCTGCCTCGGAAATGAAGAAAACAGGCACAGAAAGACTAGGTGATGTGCCCAAGGGCAGGATTTGAACCCAGCCCACCTTGCTTCAGCTGAATCACACATGCTGACTAGTTTTTTGTTGGTTTGTTTGTTTTGGGGTTTAATTTTTGTCTGTTTTGTTTCATTTTGCTAACTAGTCTTTAAGAACTAGCCTGATTTTAAGATTAGCACACACGCTCCATAAGCATCATCTTACTCGGTCCCAGGGAGTCCCCTTCCCATCACCCTAGCCTAAGACAGCCACAGGCCTGCTTCGTGCCCATGGGGCAACAGGATCCCTGGAACCAGAATCTTAGACCCCCAATATCTGTGTCTTGGAGACTGGGACAGTCTTCCTCATGAATAGCCTGTTTGTATGTGATGAATCTAACCATCGATTATGAGAACTTGAAAAAGTAATTTGGTGTTTCAGAAGAAAAAAAGAAAGAAAGAAAAAACTTCACGTGGGAGCCAGCAGGAGCACGGTTCTGATTAGTGTATCTTACAGATGAGAAACAGGTGCACCAGGGTCTCCAAATTAATGATTAATAAACAAAGGTCCTGGATGCAGCTCAACGAGAGAGCACTCACCCAGCCCCGATTCAGTCCCCAGCTTCAGAAACCAGACCTGGTGACACACACACCTGCAAGGCCAGCCCAGGGAGGCTGGAGCGGGGGGGGGGGAGGGGGGAGTTCCTTTTCTATGCAGCAAGTTCAACCTGGGCTACGTGAGGCCCTGCCCTGAATTTCATCCCCAGCACCACATAAAAGTGGGTCGCACATGGAATCAAACTACTAAGGAGGCCTGAGCAGGAGGATCCCTGAGGCTAAATTGCCAGGCAAACTCTGAGTTCAGTGAGACACCCTGTCTCGAAAAATAAGACAGAGAAGGATAAAGGTAACGGTATGCACACACCGTTGACCCTAGAAAATAAGCAAATGGGATATAAGCCAGGCCTCGTGAATCCATTTGTCTCTAAATTCATCGTCGACTGGACCAGTGAGGTCAGGTTCCCTCTGCTGAGACGTCTGCTCTCCCTGGACACCAGGAGTCACAGCACTGTCTTCAGCAAAGACACCTCAAAAACCTGCACCTCCAGACTTCAAGCCTTGTCCAGGGGTGATGGAGACGTCAGAGGAGAGCGGTGAGCCCAGGAGGGTGTGGAGACCACTGGCGACAGGCAGAGTGGACAGACTGCCCAGGAAACCACAATGGCGGGAGCGTGGTGGCAGACCAGAAGAAGATTAGAATGTGAGTTGAAGCCAGGCCGAGGAGAGAGACATGTGGGGACTGGGCAGGGGGAGAGGCGACCAGGGAAGGACTGGAGTGGGTGACCTGCAAGAGGGAAGACATGAGTGAGTGAAAAAAGAGTAAGAGGGGTACGACTGCTCCAAGGTGTGCATGATGGAGGAAAGGGTGGATCGCAAATATGAGCGAGAGCCTAACGATCCAGAGTGGACACAGCTGGGAGACTAAGTCGGTCGTGTGAGGAGACGGACAGCCAGGAGTAAAGAGCCAGTGGCCACGAGACCAAAGGGCCAAAAGGGCCAAAAAGGGCTGGTAGCCAAAATGGCTGCAGTTACAAAAGGAAGAGCAGCTAGGGGAAGGGAAAGCCCGTCCCAGTCCCGGGACTGGAGAAGTTTTGGGCAGGGCCAGGCATGCCAGCCGGAGGATCCTGTAACAGGCAGGGACTGAGAGAGGCTGGGAGAACCTGGCAGCCCACATCAGCTTTGGTGTGTTAGGCTCCTCTCTTAGAATGTGTCCCGGGTTTGAGGCCAACTGTAAGCACAGTCAGTGGGCTGCAGGGAAAGATTCCAGCGGGAGAAAAGAGCCTGAAGACGCCAGGAAGGGGGTCCCAGGAAGCAGGAGGCTGCGAGTTAGGGCTCGATGGAGACCCGGTGTCCTCAAGAGATGCAAGGGAAAGGACGGGGAGAGGAGGAAAGGGGGGACAAATGGAGGAGTGAGGGGGGAGGGTGGAAAAAGGAGGCGAGAGGAGGAGGGAGAGGAAGATGAAATAAAAAGGAGGAAGAGACAGTGGGAGATAGAGAGGACTGGGAGGCAGAGGCGGTGGGGTGAAAAGGAGAGAGAGAGGAAGAGGAGGAGAGCAGGGTGGAGAGCACACCCAGCCAGAGGCCCAAGGACTTCTGGGTTAGCCAAGACACACAACCAGCCTGGGGCACCGCTAGGGGGCGGGGCAGAACACTCCCAAAGCCCACACCCCAGACTTCACTTGGCAGGGTGAGAGAGCACCTGGACTGTCCCTTTGTGCGTCTTAGAGCCAAGGTCAGTACCTGCCTGGGCGGGCTCACAGTGGAAAGCTTAGTGCAAGCCGCCCCCCACCAGGAACCCTCACTGTAATCCCAGAGCGCCCCTCAATCCCTCCCACCCCCACACCCCACCACCAGGGTGCTCCAAGAACGGAGGCTGGCAAAGGAAAGCTAGACTCCCCTCCCCTTGGATTTCTGCATAACCTTTGCCCCATCTGAACTCCAATCTCTCTGTTAAGGAGGGAAGCCCAGGAACCGGCGCACACGATGATCTGAAGACAGCGCTGGGTGGCAGCCCGAGTCCCACAGAAATGCCCAACTGCCTCTCACCTCAGCATGAGGCTACACAGCTCTGTGTGTGAACATTGCAATGAGATAAGTGGACGGGGAGACTTCCGGTCCTGCTTAGCCGTGGGGGCCCAGGGTGTCTGCAGGTCTAGGATGGAGACTTAAACTTGGGGTTCTTGGGGGATTTGAAGCTCCAGGACTCCAGAGTGCCTGGAGGCCTGTGATTCCAGACAATTCTAACACCTCCGGTTCCAGGGTTTCTGTGGATGTGGGTAGACAAAATGTCCTAGAATCTGAAAGCCGATTTCAGATATCTGTGTCCAGTAGCTCCAGGGAGGTTGAGCCAGCCATGCAGGTTTGTCCCATAAAGTCAACAGCTTCCCAGACCTGGGAGGGACAGAGCCTGTAACCGATGCCATGCTTGGGCTGTGTGACCTCAGCTCAGTCCTCCTGCTTCAGGGACTTTCTCATCATCAGGGTTCTAGGCAATTGCTCAAGGCCCTCTGGGGGTGGAGACACCAGGGTCAGCCACAGATACCAGAACCTTGGGTCATCTCTGATGGTGCCAGCCTATAGACGTAGACTCTGGAGGCCAAGCTCCAGACCCCAGGATTGACCACAGGGAATCCAGAATCAAGACACAGGGCCTACCTGAGCGCTGAGTTCTGCTCCACACCCGACACTAGCATTCCAGAACCGGAAGTCGGGCTGTCTTGAGTCCAGAGGTTGGTTTGTTGGGTGAGACGGCATTTCACCCTGCCTCAGGCCGACAGCTCAGGCTGCCTTAAACCTCCATCGTCCTGTGTCTACTTCCTAAGTGCTTGGATTGTAGTATACAGGCTTGTGACGCTGGGCCTGGCTCTGTGCAGGCCCTGGTCTTCGTTTTGCTTCTACTACTGTTGTTGATTGAAGCAAGTCTTGGATAACCCAGGCTGGCCTCAAGATCACTTGTAGACAAGCACATCCTGAACTCCTGATCCCCCTGCCTCAGGCCTCCAAGGCTGGGATTGCAGGCGTGCACTGTCACATCTGGTTGATGTGGCACTGGGAGGGAATCAATGGCAAGAGGAGGAGGTGACACCAGAGAGAGAAACGTGAGGGACACAACTGAGACCTCACAAGTTGTTCGCAGTTCTGACCCCAGGACACTGGGCCTCAGACTCCAAAAGTAAACTCTCTAGGGTGTGGCACGGCTCAGTGAACAAAGTCTTGTCATGCAGTCCTGAAGACCTGAGTTCGATACTCGGAACTTATGTAAAAATCCAGTCTGAGCCTGTAATCCACTGTGGCAGGGGTGGGTCTCTGGAGCCGGTTACCCGACCAGCTTAAGTCTATCAGGGAGCTCCAAGTCCAACTGAGAGACTCTGCTCAACAAGCAAGGTGGACACTGGGTGTTGGTGGCACACGCCTTTAATCTCAGCATTTGGGAGGCAGAGGCAGGCAGATTTCTATGAGTTCGAGGCCAGCCTGGTCTACAGACAGGCTCCAAAGCAATACAGAGAAACCCTATCTCAAAAAACCAAGGTGGAGGGGCTGCAAACACGGCAGGTAGCAACCAACACAACCCCCGGGGATCTAAGGCCTCCCTGGCACCGCACGTGCAAGCTTACACATAATAAAAACAAAAACAAGGAGGGCCGTGACTTGGGAAGACACCCACAGTCAATGCATGTTTTAATGACTAAAAGTAAAGGTAATTAAATTTCACACAGTAAACTTGGGCCATGACAACCAATGAGACCTCCCCCATCCATAAGCTAACATAAATCCAGATCCAAGTTCCAAAGTGGCATGTTGGCACACAGCCATCATCCCAGCCTTTGGGAGGCTGAGGCAAATGGATTCAAGTCCAAACTCAGGTCCGCCTGAGCTACTCGGAAAGACCCTGTGTCAAAACAACAAAACAGAATCAAATCTCAAAACTCTCTCCCAGATCCAAGAAGCATGACCTCAGAATTCAGCTCCCCCACTTGCACCAGAATCCCAGGCTCTGCATTTCACTGTCTTCCAGTTTTCTGCACTCATCCTACTGTCCCCTCCCCTTGAGGGAACTACCCCTGGGTGGAATTCCTCCTTACAGACTCAGACAATGGCCTCAGACTAATAAACGCTCATTAGACCAACCTAGTCTGGCATCGCACCTTCCGCCAGGGCGTCCAGCCTGTAAACCTGACCCTCCGCTGCCTCTCACTCCTCTCTACCCAACCCCACCCCCAGACCCAGGCTGGGCCAGGAGCTTATAAATGCCAGTGTCCAAGCGCCTGCTCCTCTTCTGGCATCCCAGCTGCTCTGGATGTCACTGGAGGACCTGGAGGGGGTGAGATCTTTGAGAAAGAGCTTGGGAAAAGTGGGTGGGCGCAGGGAGGGGTCCCGGAAATGCCTTGGTCTCCAGGAGGCAAAGACTACCCTGAAGGACCAGTTGTCAAGGGCACTGGGTCTTCTGTGCCCTTTTCTTGTAGCTTCAAGTTGAATCTGAACCAAGAAAATGTCTCGAAGCTTCTAGAAAGAGCCTGGGCTGGAGGGGGAGAAGGGAAAGCAAAGACTTGAAAGGACGTCCCTGAAAACACTTGTCATGGAGCCAAGGACATGGTCAGCGGTTATCACAGGTCAAGTCAGTTCAGAAAACCTCCCTGGGATGTCTCCAGAGCTGGGTGCCAGGCTGAGCAGAGCTGGGGACAGGAGGGTCTGACCTGACTCCATCTTCCTAGGATGAGGAGTGGGAGCAGCCAGGTGTCAGTCACTGCAGTCAGTGCAACCATGCAGGGCATCAGGGATGGCACAGGATCTCAATGGCATCCCCTCTGATCCCACTGTCTTGGAAGAGTCAGGCTAAGCTGAATGTAAATAACAAGATGCAAGATGAAAATGAGTTTGCTCCCCCAAGCTTCTGGAGGTCTCTCTATGGGCCAGACCCTAACCCTGGGTGGTACCTGGGAATCCAGTCAGGTGGGGTCTGCTCCAAAGGAGTTCTCAGTCTGATGAGGAGACCCCACAGAGAGTCTGGGGAGGAGTCAGAAGGTCAAGGGGGTGGGGAACAAGCTTAGCAAAGGTGGTATGAAACTGCAGGACCAAAGTCCAGCACTGGCTGTGCCTAGGGAAGGTTCCAAAACCCCGCTGGACAGGCTGGAAGGGGAGGAGGCATTTCTGTCCTTCCAAGTACTGCTGAGCATATGGGACTTTATCTGGGGGCTGTCAGGAGTCCATAGGAGGCTGTGAGCTGGAGAGAGGAGTCCTCAGCTCTGGGCTAGGAAGACCCTGCAGAAACCAGGTGTGGTAGTGAATGCCTGTCGTTCAGCACTTGAGAGGCTAAGGCATGAGAGTGCAGAGTTCAAGAACAGCCTGGGAAACTTGATGAGACCCTGTCTCAAAATGAATAGTAAAAAGAGATGTGGGGACGTGCCTTAGCAGTGTGCATTTCTAATCCACCAGTGAGGGGCAAGGGGCATGGCTCAGTGCAGTTAGCCAGCATAGGTCAGGCCCTGCTACCCAAGAGGAAGGAGAGGAAAGGAGGGAGGAAGGGAAGGAGAGGGGGAGGGAGGTTAGCTCTACAAGGCTTTGTTTACAGAACAGACTACAGGAGTACTAGACTTAAGGGCACCCAAGAGTGTCCATGGGAACCCGTATAGAGACCTGGTCCAGGGCCATGGGGATGAGGGAGAGAGACCCAGGGGGTATTGAATGTGCTGGTGTCTGCCAACAAAGAAAGGACCAGAGGGCCCTTCAGAGACTAGGAAGGAGCACGGTGCAGGCTGCGGCAGATGGAAGGCGGGGCCGTAAACATAGGTTTCTTAGTCTAGCACAGAGCCGTACACCCGTCTCAACGGTCAGGAGGCTGAGGCTGGAAGGGCTCAGGTTTGAGGCCAGCCTGGGATATATAGGAAGTCACTATCACAAAAGACAGGAGAAGAGTGTGTCACACATGGGCATGCATCTCTGTCTACAGGGATGGTAGTGGGGACAGATGGATCTAGAAGAAGAGTGTGTCACACGTGGGCATGCATCTCTGTCTACAGGGATGGTAGTGGGGACAGATGGATCTAGAAGAGTGTGTCACACGTGGACATGCATCTCTGTCTCAGGGATGGTAGTGGGGACAGATGGATCTAGAAGAGTGTGTCACACGTGGGTATGCATCTCTGTCTAAGGGATGGTAGTGGGGACAGATGGATCTAGAAGAAGAGTGTGTCACACGTGGGCATGCATCTCTGTCTAAGGGATGGTAGTGGGGACAGATGGATCTAGAAGAAGAGTGTGTCACACGTGGGCATGCATTTCTGTCTAAGGGATGGTAGTGGGGACAGATGGATCTAGAAGAAGAGTGTGTCACACGTGGGCATGCATTTCTGTCTACAGGGATGGTAGTGGGGACAGATGGATCTAGAAGAAGAGTGTGTCACACGTGGGCATGCATCTCTGTCTACAGGGATGGTAGTGGGGACAGATGGATCTAGAAGAAGAGTGTGTCACACGTGGGCATGCATCTCTGTCTAAGGGATGGTAGTGGGGACAGATGGATCTAGCCTCACCCCAGCTTTTGTCATCCTCCCCCCCCCCCAGGTCTCCAAGCCCAGGACCCTCCTCCACAATGTGGCTTCTCCTTGCTTTCGTCTTGCTGGTGGTGTCTGCAGGTGAGGGACACCAAAGTTGAGTAGTGGTCTGATGACATGGGGTCCCCTTTCCCCAGAGTATATGCAACCTAGGATCTGCCAACCCATACTTCACCCAGAGACCCCTCTATGATCCTATCCCAACCCCACCTGAACCACCTGCTAAATGCCTGTGAATCCTCAACCATGAATCATCAGAGATTCTGGAGGTGCTGAGCTACCTGAACCCTTGAACCTGAGTTCCAGACCATTCCTTATTGCTGTGTAGCCTTAGGAAAACTTTTACCTCTCTGGGCTTCAAGTACTTTCTACCTGTGACAGTCACCGTGAAGTCCTGGTCACATCATGTAGGTGATGCGCAGGACAAGCAGTCAGGCTGGTTCAGACACAGGACGTAGATTTGAATCCTGTGGCTGCCAGTTCCCCAACTCTGCAACTCTGCTTTCCCAACAGCAGGATGGAGGCAACTGTCCTCCATAAAAATTCAATGCGGTGTCCCATGAGGTGTGTGGGCTTGATGGAACAGTTTGGACACTCCAAGCAGGGCACATAGCATTCACAAATAATGACTGTGTGAGGTAGAGGTCTTGGGGAGATGGCCCAGTGGATGCTGTGCCTCCTGTGGAATTGTGAGGATCTGAGTCCAGATCCCCAGCACCCACACGAAAAACCAGTAGGCCTGTAATAATGTGAGCTCTATAGTCAGTGAGAAAACCTGTCCCCCAAAATGAGCTTGGGACTGGCGAGATGGCACTGATGGTAATGCTGTCAAGCCTGCACAACTGAGTTCAGGGCCCACACAGTGAAAGTTGAGAGCCGCTGTTGCCTTCATTGACCAGGGAGCAGGTTGGAAGCAGGGATGGCCACTAAACCAAGGTCACCCTGGGTGACAGGCCAATGCCAGACCAACCTCTACCACATCTTGTGGAAATTTTCAATGTAACCTGATGCTTCCTGCCCTGGAGAAATTGGAGGGGGTGTCATTAACGATCCCCCTGCTCCCCACATGACCTATGCCCAGGGCTCTCAGCCCTCCCCCATGGCAGGCAAGCCTCCCCTTGGGTTCTCCCTGTGCTCTGCCCCTGCTGTCTGCTGCACCCAACCGGGGCCTCCGCCCTCCTCCAGCTGGGACTGGCTGGGTGCAGCCCAATGCCCAGCTGTTCGGTCAGTGCCCTCCTCCTCAGGGCGACCTCACCCTCCCTCTGTTAAGCCCCTCTTCTGCCACATCCGCATTCCCACAGCCTCCCAGGCCCTTTGGCCCTGTTCCTGACCTTGGAGGACAGAGGGCAGAGTGTGGACATTTGGCTTGGTTGTAACAGTCCAGCCCAGGAGTTGGGTGTCTGTCATGTTCTTGACCTTGGAGAAGCGAAACAGTCACATCGCTCGGTATAAGGAACTGTGGCCTCAGATGATCCAGTTATGCCATTATATGTGATGCCATTCTCTGTCTCTGACTCTGTCTCAGTCTGTCTGTGTGTGTGTGTGTGTGAGAGAGAGAGAGAGAGAGAGAGAGAGAGAGAGAGAGAGAGAGAGAGAGAGAGATTTGCTGTCCAGAGCCATGATCGAGGTCCCCCCTTATGAACTTCAAAGAGTGACCTTAAACATTAGTGATCCTGTTTCCTCTGTCTCTCCTGCTATGCATCTTTGACCTTGAAATCTCAGCTTTATGTCTGGCGAGTGTGGTCTAGGTTGGTGGAGGACTGTCCATGTCTGAGTATTCACCCTGTAGATGGGTATCTGGGTCTCTGAGTTCAACCAAATGACTTGTGGGTAAAACACATCTTTATATTGTGTGCACATGTGTGTACATCCAGTATGTGCACATGCATGTGGATGCCAGAGGTCAATATTGGCTCATTCCTCAGGCACTGACTGCCCTGTTTTACTTTATTATTTTATGTGTAGGAGTGTTTTGTCTGCGTTCATGTATGTTTACCTTGTATGTCCCCTGGAACTGGAGTCACCATAGAAATTAAAGCTGGGTCCTCTGGAAGAGTAGCCAGTGTCCTGAACCAGTGAGTCGCCTCCAGACCCACCTTCATTTTTTTGACGCAGAACTTTTCAGTGACCTAATGCTCACTCATTAGGCCACACTGCCTGGCCGGAGTGCTCCAGGGATCCGATTGACTCCAGACACTGAAGGTGTCAGCTTGCACCGCTGTGCCTGACTTTTTACCTGGATGCTCAGGATTGAACGTGGGTCCTCATGCTCACAAGGCAAGTTCCTACCAACTGAGTCATGTCCCCAGCCTTTAAACTGTGGTTTTCATGTTGGCTGTTGTAACTAGGTCTGTGCAGATATCTGTCATACTGTGGCCACACCTGTGTCACCAACCTGAGCATCCACATGGACACCCCCATAAATAAATGGGTGTCCTTTGTTGAAAGTAACAAATGTACATGACTGTAATCTCAGAGCCTGAAGGCTGCCCTGAGCTCAGAACACCCTGGTTACATTGTAAGTTTCACACCAGGTTATGCAACAGAGTGAGACCCTGCCTCAAAATAACTGAAGAAAAAAATCAATTAATAGTGTTACAAGCAGTTACAATGTGCCAGGTACAATTCACACACAAACACCAGCACACAGAAAGGCACCTGTAGGCCCCTCTTGTTTTCATGGCCACCCCCACATTTTTACAATTGAGAAAAACACTAAGAGATCAACTTCTGGCTGCGAAGACAGCTCAGTCCACCATGAGCTGCTTGCTGTGCAAGTGTGAGGACCTGAGTTTGACCCTCAGACCCTGTGTCACAAGCCATGCATGTAATGCAGCGCTCGGTGGATAAACACACAGCGGGTTCCTGAGGCCACTGGCCAGCCGGCCTAGCAACGTCAGTGAGCCCCGGGTTCAGTGAGAGTAATCAAGTCTCCGTCATCAAGGCGCAGGCGGCTGAAGAATGACACAGAGAGTGTCCTCTGACCTCTATGCACATGTGTGCACCCATGCATGCCCAGACATGCAGATGCAAGAGTCAACACTACATGGCAAAGACAGGCAAGGACAGGCAGCAGCTTCAAGACAAGTGTGTGTGTGTGTGTGTGTGTGTGTGTGTGTGTGTGTGTATGTGAGGGGGAGGGAGGAAGGGAGGGAGGGAGATGCATGTGTGACCACCTTGCAGTGTGGGTGGAAGCAGAGGCTAGCACTGTCTTCCTCCATACTTCTCCTTATTTATTTTTGTTTTGTGTGTGTGTGTGTGTGTGTGTGAGAGAGAGAGAGAGAGAGAGAGAGAGAGAGAGAGAGAGAGAGAGAGAGAGAGAGAGAACATGCATGTGGATGCCAGAGCCCAGAATAAGGTTTCCTGGAACTAGAGTTCCAGGCAGTTGTGAGCCATCTTGTTGTTGCTAGGATCTGAACTCAGGTCCTCTGCAAAAGCAGCATGAGCTCTTAACCACTGAGCTGTCTCTCCAGCCCTCCATGTTTCCTTTCCTTTCCGTTCCTTTCCTTTCGTCTCTCACAGACTTCACCATTGCACTAGCTAGTCAGCAAGCTCCTGGGATCAGCCCGTCTACCTCCCCAACCCCAGCACTGGGGTTACAGGCATGGCTGACACAGCTGGCTTTTTATGTGGGTGTTAGAGGATCCAAACTTGAGTTCCCCTGCAGCAAACACTTTACCTAGGGAACCAAACCCAGCCCTAAACAGGGATCCCCACCCCCATCTCCCACTGCCCCACACCACCCCCAAGACAGGGTTTCTCTGCGTTCCCCTGGCTGTCCTGGAACTTGCTCTTGCTCTAAGACCAGACTGGTCTCAAACTCATAGGTCTGCCTGCCTCTGTGTCCCCAGTGCTGGGGATTAAAGGGGAGATTTCTCAATGAACAAGGGGAGAAGGGCCTGGGTAAGCCTTCAGTGAAGATGGGGTGAGGGGGCGGGGATGCTGAAAAGGCAGGGCTCAGAGAGAGGTCTCCCCACAGCTCAGGACGGTGACAAGGTACTGGAAGGCGAGGAGTGTGTACCCCATTCACAGCCGTGGCAAGTGGCCCTCTTCGAGCGTGGCCGTTTCAACTGTGGCGCTATCCTCATCTCCCCACGCTGGGTGTTGACCGCCGCCCACTGCCAAACCCGGTACAAAGCCAGGGGATGGGGTCCTGTGGGGTGTGGCTGGGACTGGGAACTTCTAGGCTTGGGGCACCTGGACAGTTGGGCTCGAGTGGGGAAGTAACCCAAGTTCTTGGTTTCTGAGGGACACAGAGGCTGGAGGTGAAGGTCCTGGTGAGAAGGGGTGTGGATTCTGCCGCTGTAAATCCCTAAAGGGAAAAGAGAAGGCTGCAAACGTCCCGTCTTTTGGGACCCCTGATGGGAGAGATATCTAGTAGATGAGAATTTTCTGTCTGAAGAAGGAAAGGGGCCAGACCTCAGGTTGAGTCCCACATGTGTGCCTGACTGGGGACTCCTGCTTTTGTCTGTTTCTAGAGAGAAAGTGTCACTGTGTAGACCAGGCTGGTTCAAAACTTTAAAAAATCCACCTGCCTCTGTCTCCCGAGTGTTAGGGTTAAAGGCATGCATCACCACACCCTGTGACTCATGGGTTCTTGAGGGGCATGGCTGGAACCATTGACTTCAATGAGGAAAGGAACAGAGATTTTGAGGTTCTCAACAGGTCAGAAAGCCGCAGGCTGCCCACTCTTTGACCCCTTTGTCTACTCCTTTCCGGTAACTACTCACGGGCCCAGCTTCATGAGAGTGCGCCTGGGCGAGCACAACCTTCGCAAGCACGATGGCCCAGAACAAGTGCGCACCGTCTCTAGAATCATCCCACACCCGCGCTACGAGGCTCGCACCCATCGGCATGACATTATGCTGTTGCGACTTCTCCAACCTGCCCGGCTATCATCCCAGGTGCGCCCTGTGCCTCTGCCCACGCGTTGCCCCTTTACTGGCGAGGACTGCGTGGTGTCAGGCTGGGGCCTGTTATCAAACAACAAGCCTGGAGCCACAGAGAGTCACAAGTCACAAGGTGCGTGGAAGGAATTCCAGCCACGCTGCCCTCCAGGGTTCTCGGGTGGAGGGCACAGGGACCGAGGGGAGTGATATACTCAAAGCCATCTGTCCTCCTCAGTGAGACTCCCCGACACATTGCACTGTGCCAACATCAGCATTATCTCCGAAGCATCGTGCAACAAGGACTACCCGGGTCGAGTGTTGCCCACCATGGTGTGCGCTGGTGTAGAGGGCGGTGGCACCGACTCCTGTGAGGTCAGAGCCCAGTGGGGACTCTGGGTAAAAGAGGGGAATAAGCTGTATCCTGGCTTGCTTTTCTGTTACTGTGATAAAAAATACTCTGACCAAAAGCAACTTGGGGAGAAAAGAGTTTATTTAGCTAAAAACTCACAGTCCATCATGGAGGACAGGAAGCTCAGAAACCATGGCAGGATGTTGCTTACTGGCTTGCTCACTGTCCTGTTCAGCTGGCTTTCATTTCTGTCTTTCTTCCTTCCTTTCCTTTTTTTTTTTTTTAATGTGTTGAGTGTTTTGCCTGGATGTATGTCTGTGCACCACACACGTGCAGTGTACATGGAGACCAGAAGAGGGCTTTGGGATTGAAATTACGGACGGCTGTGAACTGCCTTGCTGGGAGTCAGCTGGGTCCTATGCAAGAGCAGCCGGTGATCCTAACTGCTGAGCCAGCTCTCCAAGTCCTCAGCTTGATCTCTGATACAGTCAAGGCCCATTTGCCTAGGGGATAGTGCCACTCGGGGAGCTGGGTCCTCCTGTATTGGCCAACGATGAAGACAGTGTCCCACATCCTGGGAACAGTTGAAACTCCTCAGATGAGCCTAGGCTGTGTCAAGTTGGCAGCTGAAACTACTTAAGACAGAATAGGACACGTAGGGTTGCTTGAATTTTCTTTGGGCGAGAGACAATGCTAAGTTTAGGTATGGGATGGGATTCCGGGAAGAGTTAGAATCATGGTAAGAATGGAAGTCGGGTTAGAGATGTGGACATGGAGGGGATTATATGGTCTGGGAAAGCACTGAGGGGAGCTAAGAAGGGGAGTGAGTTCGGTTTGACTCAGGATGGGAAATGTGTTGGGGTTGACATCGGATGGCGTGGGTTTGGGGGAGTAGTGAAGATGATGCAAAGATTGGGACTGGGTTGTGTTTGGTGAGCACAGGTTTAGTTGGATTTTGGATGGGAAAGATGTATGGATTGATGGACTCTGACTTGGCTTCATGCCATGGGGCTGTTATTGTGATATGGAGCTGAACGGGGGTCGGGGGGGTGAGTGCTCTTGGGTTGTGTTGAGTCAGAGTAGGCTTGGATTGGTTTGGGGTAATGTTGGAGTTTTCTGGGGTGAGTGAGGTTGGTTTGGCACTTCGTTGAGATAAGGGATTACAGTTAGACAGTGGATTGCAAGTGTGCCTCAGTTGGTAATGTCCTGGCGCATCCGAAGCCTGATTCTATCTCCAGCACCATGTTAACCAAACAAGGCAGTACACACCTGTCATCTCAGAACTTGGGAGGTTGAGGTGTTCATCAATGAAATATTGAGGAAACCCTCTTTATCCCCACAGGGTGACTCTGGAGGACCCTTGGTCTGTAGGGGTGCCCTGCAGGGCATCGTATCCTGGGGTGATGTTCCCTGTGATACTACCACCAAGCCTGGCGTCTACACCAAAGTCTGCAGCTACTTAAAGTGGATCCGGGAAAACATGAATAGGAACTAACTCATTGGCCCACAACTTAGGTCCCTCACTGACCACCTGGGACCCTGACCAAGAATCCCCTATAGTTGGTCAGCAACCCCATTCCTACCAGAGACAGAGCTGAGCCCCTCTGCACACTGCTAGCCAGGGATCCTCTCCTCCTAAGGTCACCTGCTTATAGCATCAAGAAAACTTTTCCTAGCACTCTCGAGGCAGAGGCAGGCATATCTCTGAGTTCAAGGCCAGCCTGGTTTAAAGAGTGAGTTCCAGGACAGCCAGGGCAACAGAGAGAAACCCTGTCTCAGAGAAAAAAGAAAGAAAGAAAATAAATAAATAAGGAAGAAAGGAAGGAAGGAAAGAAAGAAAGAAAACAGCTGACCCAACTTTCTCTGTGGATATGACTTTCTTTAAGGTATGATGGGAAATGGATGGGGGGTTAGGATATAAAGTCTACTGTTCTGTGTCACCTAAGGTCCCCTTCCCTGGTCTAGAGACCATTACTTTGCTCATTTGGACCAGATGTTAGATGTTAGATCAGGGGCATGACCTCCCTCATTCTTGGTTTTAACATCTGTGAAATGGGTCACCATAATACTTATCTCCCACGGTGTCTGTAAAGATTAAAAGACTCATTCATCTTAACGGATCAGAACAGTGTCTGCCACTTTGTCCACAGTCATGAACTGTACATTCCAGTGAGAGGACCCAATATACACTAGCTTTCCAAGAGTCACCATTAGCTCTAGGCTTCCTGGTGACCAAGGCAAGAAGGTCAGCACGGATGACACACAGTCCAGCTGTCCTCACTGTGAGCTGCCTTGTTCATGTATGCACATCGCGTTTGGAGCCTGTGGCTTTGCCATCAAGTCTATGGGAGTACAGTTTCTGATTCTCTTCTGAGATGCCAAGATGTGATTCTTGGGGTCACTGAATGTTCAAGCCCTTGATTTTGGTCATAGAAATTGACAGATTAGATTGAGTGAAAGGTTGTCATTGCAACTTCTGATATTATCTTTATGATACATATTTATTTTATATGTGTTCAGAGGTTAGAGGACATATATTCTAAGAGTTGGCTTTCTTCTACCATTGGGATTGAATTCAAAAGCTGTCAGGCTTGGTAGAGACACCTTATCCACTGATCCTTCTCACCAGACTCAGAATATTTTTGTTTATTTATTTATTGCTTCACATTAGCCAAGGATGACCTTGAACTTCTGACCCGCCTGTCTCCACATCCCACTTGCTGGTTTTACAGGCATGCACTACCACACCTGGTTTTACAAAGCACTGTGGCTTGAACCCAGGACCTCATGCAAGCTAGGCAATCACCCCACCAACTGACATATGCTCCCAGTTCCCACCAACTCTCTCTCTCTCTCTCTCTCTCTCTCTCTCTCTCTCTCTCTCTCTCTCTCTCTCTCTCTCTCACACACACACACACACACACACACACACACACACACACACACTTCTTTTGGAAGACAGGGTCTCACATAACTCAGACTGACCTAGAACTTGCTATGTAGCAGAGCTGACCTTGAACTCCTGATCCTCCTGCTTCTCCGTCCCAAGTGTGTGCACCAGGTTCTATGGTGATAATCTTGCCTGGGGAATCCAGTTAGTCAGACCTTTGGAACTTTGAGGAACATGACCTTAAGTATCCTTATCTAGGAAACAAGGAATAGAATGAACATTGTGACCCCAACACTGTGGGTGGGTGACATTCCCCTGGAATAACCTGACTTCTCATAATCTTTGATCAAAGGGTGATCTGGCTGTGGTAATATTCTAACTTCTATTATTTTTATTTTATTGATTGGTTTGAGACATCTCTCTATATAGCCCTGGCTGTCCTGGAACTCACTATGTAGACCAGGCTGGCCTCAAACTCAGAGGTCCACTTGACTCTACATCCCAGGCACTGGATTTAAAGGTGTGTGCCACCATGCCTGTCCCTAAACTTCTAACAGGAACAATAAAAATCAGTGATCTAGATTCCAAGTCTTCTAAGACGGTAAGAACCCTGACATTCCCAAAATCAAGGTTTGTATTTGCAGGAAGTTTGTAGCCCTCTGACTACCACTGGTGCAAGGAACTTGTTTCAACCTCTGGTTCCTGGAGATATGCTGGTCTTGAGGTTCAGGGCCTCCCTTAGCAATGTGTGACGGGGTCACCTGCTCCTCCACTCTCCCGCGGCACTCCTCCACGGCCGCCACAGCCCGACACTGCCATCCTGGCCGTGGATCGCACGCGACTCCGGGAGCAGTAGGCCCTGCTCCACCCAATCTCAGCCCTGGGAAGGCGGCCAGGGTGACCTAGGGCCTGCAGGACAGCAGGTGCACCAGGTCCCTCCCCTCCCACAGCTGTGAGGGTGGGAGTGGGGAGTCCACCTCCCTCTGTCAGCAAGGGCAGAGCCTTGGCCAGCATCTGGGTGCCAACAGGGCAGGGGCGGGGCTGGGGGGGGAGAATAAGGGTTTTTAAAGGCACTCTGAGGAGGCTTCTCAGCTCCAAGCTCACGCCTGCAGCTCCTGGACACCTGTCACCATGTGGTTCCTGATCCTGTTCGTAGCCCTGTCCCTGGGAGAGACTGGTGAGACAGTGGGGAGAAGCAGGAGGGGTCAGAGCCCTGACTCTCCTGCTGCCTTTACCCCTGGAGATCTCTTTCCTATTTCCCCTTCCCCCACCCCAGCTGCATCCCAAAGTGCACCTGCACCTCTCCCTGACCCTGTACACTGCCGAGTCCCTCACAGTCCTGATTCCCATATTGATTCCCTCCCATTTTCCAGAACTTTCTCCTCTTCTGTAGTCACCTGACCATCTCTGGGCTTCTCCAGTCTTTCCAAGGAACCCAACCCCTTACAGACCTTGGGACCTTGGTTGCCCCTCTAAATTACTTTTTTTTTCTAGAGCCTAATAGTCCAACTCCTGAGCTAGGGGCTCCCCCAAGCCCCACCCCTAGAGACTTTGGCTGTCCAGCAGCTGTCAGCCTTCCACTGTGTCCTCAGTCCCAACAACTGGTCCCCCATCCTCTCAAGTCCCTCAGTTTTCACCAACAGTCTTAGCTTGTGGGGATCTGCCCGTGTCCCTTCTCACTGGGCTTTCTGTTTGGTCTGGTTTGAGGAGGCGTCCTCCATCACTCTCCACCTTACTTTTGAGGCAGGGTCTCTCACTGAGCAGAGCACTCCCCCATCTGGCTAGGCTGGCTGGCCAACAAGCCTAGGAGATGTCTATTTCCACCTTCCCAGCTCTGGGGACACAGGCAAACATCACCACACCTGACTTTTCCTGGGCCCTAGGGGCATGAGTTCAGGTCCTAATGCTTGCATGGCAAGCAAGTCATCTCCCCAACTCTTGGAAACAGTTGTGAGACAGGGTCTCATTGTGTAACCCAGACTTGCCTCAAGCCATGGCAATCCTCTGCCTCAGCCTTCTGTGTGCTGAGGTTAAGAGCCACCATGCCTGGCCCAGGCTTCCCTCCATGCCCCTCCCACCCTCAACTGCAGGCTCCTGCTGACTCTTGCTCTGCCCCAACTCCTGTCCCATCCTGACTGAGTCCCACAGCTCCAGTCCCCACTCTGCCCAGGACTTCCCAAAGACCCCCAAGTGGGTCTTCCATCCCACGAGGCTTGTCGTTTTAAGTCCTTTTCCACTCCTGTCCCTTGGCTGCCTCCAAGCAACCCTGACCCTCTCAGTGACCGCAGACCATTAGCCCCACCTCCATGAGAAACAGAGCCCACACCGCGCCAGCAAGTCTTTCTCTCACTACAGTCCCGTCTCAAACTCTGTCCTCAGGGAGCTCCACCCTCTCAGATACCATCCCCACCCAAACCCACAGGAGCCCGCCTTAACCCTAACCCACTGTCCAGGAAACCCTCATTCTCTCCAACCCAGCTGGCCACTTCATGCCCAATCCAAGATCCCCCAAATCATGTTGGACTCCCTTTTCTGGGCTCATTTATTCACTCAAGCCTGGTTCTCTGAGACGTCAGCCTTTCCAGAATGTCCCAAACACAGCCCAGTCCCTGACTTCTTCTCAAGCCTTGGAGACTCTAAATGCCAAATCCTACTGACATTCAACTAAGAGCCACTGGATTCTGGAACCCCACCTCTCTGTCTCTCCCCCCCCCTCAGCCATTGTCCTGCCATCCCTTAGCCCCAAGTTCTAAGTGACCTGACATCATACCCAACTCTTGCTCCAGCTGCAAGCAGCTAAGTTATTTCTGTCCCCACAGCAGAGATCTCCCTGTCCAGAGCCAGCCGCCTATGGGTTCCTTCCCCCAGGTCCCCTGGCCATGTCCCCTGACCCCAGCCCTGGTCAGCCGTACCCCCACGGCGCACCTCCCCCTCTGAGCCAGTCCCGCCCCCACCGCTCTGTTGCAGGTGCTGCACCTCCCATGCAGTCCCGGGTCATTGGAGGGTTTGCCTGTGAGAAGGGTTCCCAGCCCTGGCAGGCAGCTGTGTTCCGCTACACCAAATACCAATGTGGGGGCATCCTGGTGCACCCCGAGTGGGTGCTCACAGCGGCTCACTGCTACAACGAGTGAGTAGGGCCACGGCCAGGGAAGCAGGGTGGCAGCCAGAGAACATGACCCCAGACCAGGATTGGGTACTGAGGACAGGAGGACGGGACCGGCTGAAGGTTGAGGGGGGCAGAGCTGGGCTAGACCCCTTTGATCTCTCCATGCTCCCCCAGGCTTGCGTTTGATTCCTGTTTCTTTCTTCTCTGTCTTGTTGCCCATGTGTCTCCTGTCTGTAGTCACAACTGAGTGTCTCTGTGTCCACCTGCCGTTATGTGTCTCCCCATCCAGGGCTCTCCTAGCCTCTCTGGGTCTGGGTCTTTCTTGTCCTCCTCCATCACTACTGGCCATACTGGAGAACAGGCCTAGGGGCTCCCTGAGCGTAGGAAGGGATCTCCCTGAATCCAGAGTACTCACTGTCCCCAGGCCAGCTTGGCCTTAGGACCTTCGGTCCACTCTGAGGACACACAGAGAAAGGCTGGTCTCAGCTGGAGCTGGGTGAGGACAACTGAGCACAGAGGGGAACAGGGTGCTGTGGGGGAAGAGAGCTCAGGCCTTGGGCTGTGGGCCAGGCCTCGCCTGCTGGGGAAGAGCAACCCAGTCACAGCTGCAGCTGAGCAGCTCTCAAGCCCTCCCCCTCTCCCTGCCCCCTCCCTGTATGCTCATGCTCTCTCTGTCTGTCTCCCTCCCTCTGTGTGTGTGTGTGTGCACACGCACGCGCATATATGACTTTCTGTCTGTTTCTTCTTCCTCCCTCCTCCCTTCCCCTCCCTCCCCTGCACTCTGCCCAACCTTCCTGGTCCCCTCCTCTCATTCCCTCTACCTCTCTCCCTGCCTCCAGCAAGTACCATGTTTGGTTAGGCCGCAACAACCTGTATGAGGATGAGCCCTCAGGTCAGTACCTGGCTGTCGACAAAAGCTTCCTTCACCCTGACTTCAACATGGACCTCCTGAAGAACTATTCCCAAAACCTTGAGGAGGACTACAGCAATGACCTGCTGCTCCTGCACCTTGCCCAGCCTGCTGAAATCACGGATTCTGTGAAGGTCCTCAGCCTGCCCACCAAGGAGCCCACACTGGGGAGCACCTGCCTTGCCTCAGGCTGGGGCAGCATTGAACCCCTCAAATGTAAGTCTAGGCCAAGCCACACAGCCTGAAGAGGGGCGCGTGGGTCTACAGGAGGAGAGAGGACAGGGCTGGAGTCTGCTCACCACCCTCTTGCCCCCCCCACCCACAGTCAAATACCCAGATGATCTCCAGTGTGTGCACCTGGAGCTCCTGCCTAATGAGGAGTGTGTCAAAGCCCACACGGAAATTGTGACGGACCTCATGCTGTGTGCAGGAGACTTGAAAGACGGAAAGGACACTTGCGTGGTGAGTGAGCCCCTCCCTGCCATGTGATGAACGCCTGAGAGAGGGAACTCAGATTCTTGATTCCCACGTCAACCCCGCATTCAGCAGGTGCTTCTCACCCTTCGCTGTGGAAGCCATGGGCTCTGGGAGGGGGGAATCCCATAGCTGGCTTTCAGGGACTGTCCTGTCTGTCCCCCACCTGTGTCCCTGCAAAAGCAGGACTCCCAAGAGCTGTAGTCAGCCCCAGGGTGTCGAGAAGACCCCAAGCGCCAGGACCTTCCTCACTCCTGTCTCTGTCCTGCTTTCAGGGTGACTCAGGGGGTCCGCTGATCTGTGATGGCATGCTCCAAGGTGTCACGTCATGGGGCCCTACCCCATGCGGCAGACCCGAGAAGCCGGGCATCTACACTAAACTTACTAAATTCGTCACTTGGATAGAAGAAGTTATTAAGAACAATTCCTGAATGACACATTATCCCTTCTTGGCTCCTAATAAAACCCTCCATGCAGCAAATGAGCTCAAGTTCTGACATTTTCTAGCCTTCTGGAGTCAGGTACCAAGTCGGGGCCCAGCCAGTTGAGGTCAGGACTTCCCAGTGGATGTCAAGCTTGTGGCAAGGGACAGTTGTACATGTGCAGGTGGTCAAAGGGATGGCCTGAGACAATGCAGACAAAAGGCTCAGACCACGTCAGCGATGCCACATGAGTCCACTCTGGCAAGCAAAAGGCTCAGATCTCAAAGGCAAAGTTAAAGATGTCAGGAAGGTCAGGCCTACCTAGCAATTCGACACTGACAATTCGGACTGCTGGCCTGGTTTTATTGAGTCCGAAAGCCAAGAAGGAGATGGGATGTTATATCAAGCCTTGTCTTCCTGAGGAGGGGTCTGTCCACAGTAGGGCAAGGGCTGCCCCCAAAACTGGGCTGCAGAGTGTCCGCCTGGAGCCCCTGGAGGGGGACTACATGGGTGGGGCTGGACCAAAGGATGGAGAGTGGCTTAGGGGCGTGGCCTGTGGGGGCGGATCATCGCCCGGCTTGGGGGCGGGATCACACTGCTTAGGCTGCTTGAGACGGTGGACCAGTGTCTGCTCCAGGGACACGCCGTGTTAGAGGACTTCCAGAGTGAGGTCCTTGCCAAGACTCAGATTACAAAGGGTGGGCCCTAGAGCTGAGGAGCGGGGCTTGCCACCTATCTCCAGAGGGTGCTACCTGCTCTCAGGGGAAGTGTGGGACCTCAAGGGAGGTCCGATGGTGACGGAGTCACAGGGACAGAGGTGGAGGCATCTGGCTGCGAGAACTCCTCAGTGTCCTGAGAAGTTGCAGAGTCCCCCCCGGGGGGAGCCTCAAGGTGGTTCACTAAGCTGCTTGCAGCAGACTGACTCTGGGTGGACTCCAATCTCTGGTCGGAAATGGGCTGCAGCTGCAAGACGCGTCTCGAGGCCCAACGAAAGTAGCTAACCCTCCGTTCCATGAGAGGTGTGGTGTAGGTCCATACGCGCACTTGGTTGAGGAAGGACAGCGTTCCTGTGGGAAAGAACACGGTGGGCACTCGACTCTGAGCCCCACCCCGGGCCCCACCCTGGCCCTGGAGGCTGGCCCCCTTTCCTGGTCTCCTCCCCTGCCCTGCCCAGGTCCCGCCCTTCCATCCGAGGCCCCGCCCTCACCGGCCCACAGCATCAAGACGCTGGCGCACCAGCACAGGTAGAAGGCCAGCTGGTAGGATACCTGTGGCCTCGGGCGCAGCCTATTGCAGTTGATGACAAAGAGCGTCAAGCTGAGGAGAATCAGGAGCCCTGCACTGGGGTGGGGCCAGAGAAGGACAGGAGGCTAGACAGGGAACCCCCCAAAGAAGAGGAGGGAGAAGGACAGGAGGCAAGACAGGGAACCCCCCCCCAAAGAAGAGGAGAGAGACAGAAACAACCTCCCTGACCTGCCACACTAAGTAGATACATCTATGTACACACACACACACACACACACACACACACACACACACACACACACGACAAATTGAAACATACTTGGAGACAAGGAAAATGGGGAACAAAACCATCAGCCAGGACTGGTGGGCATAGGCCCCTGATCCTAGCTATTCAGGAGAACGATAGATTCGAGGCCATCATGCACTACAGAGTGAGATCAAGGCCAGTCTGAATTATAGAGACACCCCTGTCCCCCAGAGCAACAGAACTGGAAGTGTAGCCACACCTTTGGGAAGGAGGCAGTTCTGGGGTGAGGTGGGGGCTCCCCAAATACCCCTGTCCTCGCCGACACTTACCGATGCTAATGCTGAGGAAACTGAAGACAAAGTCGATCTTGTTCAAGCGGCGGCAGACTGGTCGGAAGGAGAGGAACATGGCGGGCAGCAGGACGAGGCACAGTGCCAGGGCCAGAAATATGAAGCCCTTGCTCATGTGAATGTGAACTGGGGAGGAGTTGGAGAGATAACCACAGTTACCCCAACACACACACACACACACACACGCCTGCATACACGCACACACGCACGCACACACACCACGCACACACACACACACACAGCACACACGCACGCACGCACGCATGTCCTTTCTCTCTCCCATCATTTCCTCTCACACCGTGAGGAGCACAACAGTTCTTCAAAACACCCCCAGTGCAGGGTCTGGTGGCACACACTGTCGTTCTAGTGCTCCAGAGGCCAGGGAGGAATACCATTTCAAGGTCTGCCTGAGCAATTTAATGAGGCCTAGACCCTGTCTCAAAATACAAAGTAAAAGAAGGCTAGGGTCTTGGGGCTATAACTTACTGGTAGGATGCTTGCCGAGCATCTCGGAAGGCCTTCATTCCATCCCCAGCCCTGTGGTAAACTGGGTGTTGGTGGTACATGCCTGTAAACTCCACACTTGGGAGGAGGCTCAGAAGTTCAGGGTTATCCACAGCTAAAGAAGGAGTTGGAGGCTAGCCAGAGCTACAGAGACCCTGTCTCAAACAGGGCAGAGGATGGGAAGTAGCTCAGCACCTGTCCGCAATCTCTCAGTGAGGAGCTGGGGGTGTGGCTCGGTAGTAGAGTCCCCTTGGAGTATGCGCAAGGCCTTGGGTTCTAGCTTCAGCACCCCCAAAAAATGAAAAGAAAAAACATTACATCCACACACATCACCAAAATCGCTTCCTGGAAATTCTAAAATGACTCTACTGCCCCTCACAGAGTTACCCTCCAACAATAATGCCCCCATGTGAACCTTAAAGTTACTCCCCCAGAAAGACTCCAGGGAGAGTACCGCTGGCCCGACCCAGAGTGGACGCACAGTCTGTGCACTGACCAGTGACTTGGCCCACGTTGGCACACTTGTGCCTCCTGCAGTCAATCCAGAGGCCGATGAAGCCCGTGTAAGGACCATGCACATAGGCCATCCGCCCATCCACCACGCTGAACACCAGCAAGGTTGCCAGGAAGATGAAGACGAGGGACCAGCCACGCAGGACCAGCTTCCGGTCCTCCTCCCAGGAACAGAGCAGGTCAGCTGGGAAGGGAGAAAGTTCTGGGGACCTGGATCTTTCTCCACTACCTAGTCTCATTCTCATCTTCACTTCCGCCTCCCACTTACAACCGCCTCCCTGTGGAAGCTGTCCCGGCTCATCTCCAATTACACTTCAACTCCCGCCATTTGCACTGGCCTCTTCTGCTCTGTTACCACCCTGCTGCTAATCCCAACTCAATGCTGGGCTACCACACACTCACCAAGTCCTATCTCAAGTCCTCTCCCCTGTCCCTTGTGAGTCTCCAAGCAGCTTCTCCTACCTCTAGGAGCTGCCCTACCCTGGAGTCTCAATGCAAGTGTGCCTCTTCTTGGGACACTTTCATGGGTTTGGATTTGGGTTTTGCTTTTAAGACAAGGTTTCACGTAGCCCGAGCTGACTTCTAACTCACTAAAGAGCCAAGGACGACCCTGAGCTCCCAATCTCCTTCCTCCACCAACCAAGTGCTGGGTAACAGGTGTGCACCAACGCTGCTTTATGTGGTGCTGGGAATGGAACCTGGAGCTTTGTGCCATGCTCTGCCTGAACTCTTACTGAGTGAGCCACTGTCCCAACCCTCATTGCTCACTTTTGCCTGGCCGTCCACAACCACCCACCCTTCAATTTCTCTTCTTTCCATCTCCTTCCCTGGGCTCAGCCAAGAACTCTCAGTCCCCAGAACTCTCAGTTCCTGTCAGTCTGCCTGTTAGATGTTTCCGTGGTGTGAGTTTGTCTCCTTCACTGGCAAATCACAGATTTAGAATTAATTACTTGTTAATTGCTTTCCCCCTCACCAATTCTCTGCAACAGTGTTACATGAGGGTGGGAAACAAATCGATTTTGTTCTTCGTTGTACTCCCATCTCTTAGTAGAGAGGCTGTGGCGCTTATTAAGTAAACGGAGTAATAAACGAATGTATGAATGGATGCATGCACGAATGAATACACACGTGAGTGAATGAACAAGTGGACACATGAATTAATTAACGGAAACATAAATAAATGAATGAATGCATGAATGAGCTCATGAATGGATCGATGTGTGCATGAGCAGATGCGTGCATTAATAGTAGCAGGCATGGTAACTTCTTTCTCATCCAGAACAGAGTCGTTTTCAGAAGAACTAGGGAAGAGTCCTAGGATGCAGAGAAAAGCTTGGTGGCCAGCTCCTGGCTTTCTTGGAGCGGATCACACATGCATATGCCCAGATCAAATGTGATAAATGCCATGAGAGTTGAAACAATCTAGATGTCCACCCAGGAGAGGATAGGTCTGAGACACGCAACAGGCAAAGACCACGTATCCCTCCTCTTCTGTAACAGAGCCCGGGCTCAACTCTGGATTTTTAATTTTTTGAGACTGAGTTTCCCTATGCAGGTCTGACTGGCCTGAATTACTAAGTGGACCATTCTGACCTGGAGCTCACAAAGATGCCCCTGCCTCTGCCTCCTAAAGTCTGGAATCAGGGTGTGCACCACCATATCCAGCTCCCAAGCTGAGCTCTTAATGGTGCTTCTGGAGGGTGTGTGTGGCATTTTCTGGTTGCTGTTTCTTGAGAAAGGGTCTCACATAAGCCCAGCGTGAGCTAACCTCAATATATAGCTTAGGATCATCGTAGACTTCTGATCTGTCTCCACCTTCCCAGTGCAGGGGGAACAGGCAATGCCTGGTTTATGCCAGGCTAGGGGTGAAACCCAGGGCTAAATGACTGACCTGGGTTTTGTTTTGTTTTTGTTTGTTGTTTGTTTGTTTTTAGATAGGATTTCAATATTGGCCTTGAATTCACTATGTAGACCAGACCGACTTCAACATCCTGGCAAATTCTCCTGCCTCATTATACTTAGTCCTGGTATTACAGGAGTGCAGTGGCTAATCCAGCAAGTGTTTATGATTTAAACCACCATTGTTTTGTTATAAAATTTGGTTCCAGGAGCCAAAAAAGTATCTCCACAATGGGATATACCACATTTCATGCCAATTTGGAATGCAGCTTTCTCTTAGATTTTTGTGTCCAGACAGGGTCTCACCATGTAACTCTGGCCTACTCAGGATTCACTATGTATATCAGGCTGACCTTGAACTCAAAGTGATCTGCCTACTTCTGCTAAGTGCCAGCACTACCAAACCTGACTAGAAGATGCAGTTTTAACACCTTTAAAACTAGGATGCATCATATGATCAGACGCATCTCAAAATTCACCTTTGACCTCTAAAAATAAAAAAAATTAACATCTACTAAAGCCAGGCATAGTGGTGCACAGCTTTAATCCCAATACTCTGGAGGCAGAGACAGGCAGATCTCTCTCTATGAGTTCAAAGTCAGCCTGGTCTACATAGTGAGTTCCAGGCTAGCCAGAGCTATGTAGAGAGACTCCGTCTCAAAACAACAAGCAAACAAAAGAGTAACACCTGGATCTCAATATTACGTAATCAGTGAAATGTGATCAAGTTTGGCATGCTGGCACTCTTCCATAATCTCAGGACCTGAGAAGTTGATGCAGGAGGATTATTATGAATTTGAAGCCAACCTGGGCTACATAGTGGGTTTAGGGCCAGAGCTAGATAACAGGATGATAGATAGATAAATAGATGATTGATAGATAGATAATAGATAGATAAATGATAGATGATTAATAGATAGGTAGACAGATGGATAGATAGATAGATGATAGATAATAGATGATTGATAGATGATAGATAGATGGATAGATAGATAATAGATAGGAGATAGATAGATAATAGATAGATAATAGATAGATAGATAATAGATAGGAGATAGATAGATAATAAATAGATAGATAGATAATAGATAGATGATAGATGGATAGATAGACAGACAGACAGACAGACAGACAGACAGATAGATGAGAAGATGACAGTGGCTCAACAGATGGAGGCTTTTCCCAGCAAGGCTAATGACCTGAGCTCAGGCTCTACAACCCACATGGTGGAAGGAGAAAACCAACTTTTAGAAATTGATTTCTGGGCACTGGAGAGATGGCTTAGCAGTTAAGAGCATTGACTGTTCTCCCAGAGGACCTGGGTTCAAATTCCCAGCACCTACATGGCAACTCACAACTGCCTGTAAGTACAGTTCCAGGGGACCCCGACACCCTTACACAGGCAAAACCAATGCACAATAAATAAATAATTTTCTAAATAGTTGTCCTCTGACCTCCACACACTCCCTGTGATACATAAACACACACACACACACACACACACAAATGTGGAGCTGGAGAGTTGGCTCAGTGGTTAAGAGCACTTACTGCTCTTGCAATAGACAAGGGTTCAGCTCTCAGCGGTCACAGTTGGGAGGCTCACAACTGCCCATGAGTCCAGATCCAGAGAACCTGACGCCCCCTTCTGGTGTCTACAGGCACTGCATGCACATGGTGCACATATAAGCACAGGCACTCACACATACACATCAGAAAATATAAACAGGGGCTGGAGAGATGACTCAGCAGTTAAGAACACTGGCTGATCTTCCAGAGGACCTGGGTTCAATTACAAGCACCCACATGGCAGCTCACACCTGTCTGTAACTGATGTAAAGATAAAATCTAATAATATGGGTGTTTGTGTAATAAACATACAAAAGTTTGAGAGTAGTTTTTCCTCTAAAGTTCATCAACAAAAAGTAAGGGGAAGAGTAGGATGTTTTCAGTGGATGCTTTTGCTGTTAGTATTTTGGGACAGCCTCTCACTCAGCAGCCCAGGATGGGCTCAAACTCAACGCAATCCTCCTGTCTCTGAGTGCTGAAACTGCAAGCATGCACCATTATACCCACCTGGGGGAAGAGGATCTCAAAAGTCCCTCTCCCTGTATGGGATGCCTGTCTGCCTGCCTTGGTCCTTACTGAGCTGTGGCTGTGTTCCCCCAACCCCAGAACTGAAGTATTCAGGAGCAGACTCAGCCTTCTGTGAGGTCTCAGTGGAGGATAAATGGCAAGCAAGAGAGACAGACGGAAGACAGAACAAAATGAGACGTGGAGGTAGAGAGAGAACAAAAGATAGAGGCTGGCCCAGAGCAAACCTGGGAACTGAGGGAAAGACACCAATAGGTACAAGGAATTATAAGTTCAGATCTTCTAGAAACTAGAATTCATCTCTAACGTGCTGCTGAGCCAGCCTTGACTCTCAGTCCTGCCTAACCCTGATCCTAGCCAAGCCCAGCCGAGACCCTCACTAACTCAGCATCACCTTGTCCCACCCAATGCAGACCACACCCATTTCCACTGACCGCAGCCCTAATGCCCAGGTCACTCACGAAGGTCTATGGTGGAGACTGAGGCCATGGCCAACTGCAGCCTCTTGGAACCCTTCCAACTGTCATAGAACCCACCCCACCCACAGCTGCTGCCCAGCCCAAATCCCTGAATGCTATCTGGGGAAAGAGAGACAGACAGCAGGAGCCACAGGAGTGCCTGGAATCAGAGGCTGGTGCAAACTGAGTACATTCAGGGACTAGCCCCATCCTGCTTCTCCAGATGGACCAAAACTCCTCTAATCTCCAGAGCAAGAGGACAGCAGCTCCCCACAGCAGACAAAATAAAACCCAAGACTCTCTGACAGTGACCTCTAACCTCCCAGATGACACCCAAGGTCACCAGGTCAACATGCAAGCACCTATGCCCATCATCCACACTCAAGAACCCAACATCCAGGACCCATCAACATCCACACCTATGCCCCGAAGGGTGAGCATCCAGGAACCACCAGCATCCTTTCTTCCTCGGAGATCCAGCACCCCTGCTGCTTTCTCCCCGTCCACCATTCCTCCCCGAAGGTTCAGCATTCAAGAGACCCATTCTCAGGGTTCCCAGCTCGATACACAAGACATACTATCTGTTGCCTACAATCGCTGGCTCCGTTCCAGAGAAGACGCTTCCCTAAACTCTAATACTCTGTGCAGTATCCAGTCAGAAACTGACACTGACAGACACCTCTCCTTGATTCAGTCACACAAGCTCAAAAATGTGGATGTCCTCCCATCCATAACAGGCAGCCCAGAAGCCAGAGTCAGAAGTTTTGAGTCCTTTGTCTGGGACTCCAAGGAGAGCTTGACGGGAGTTTCACACCACTCTGTGTCCAGTCATAGTACTCTAGGCAGTTTCTTCAAGCAGTCAAACAATTATCGCACAGCAGGCTCCAGCAGGTGAGTAAAAGAGAGGAGCAGGGGCCACATGCGAGCAGGAGGCTGGACAACTGCATTTGAAACGGGAGTGTAGGGGGGGAGAGGGTACCGGAGTGAAGCAGAAGGCATTTGAGCAGACACACGGCTGGTGTTCTGGTGCTCGCTTCGGCAGCACATATACTAAAAAAAAAAAAAAAAAAAAAGACTGGTGCTCTGTTTTGCTTTGTTCTGTTTTGTTTTGTTTTGTCTTTCTGTGTAGGCCAAGCTGACCTTGGGCTCAGATCCTCCTGCCTCTGTCTTCTGTGCTGAGATTGAAGGCATATGCCACCAGGCCTGGCTTCTCAGATGGGATTTGAAAAATGGTTGTGGGGTGGCTGGCAAGGTGGATGAACTTCCTGCTGATGGTCACATGGTCTGTCACAGGATACAGAGCAAACGCTGGTCCCTGCTGCCCGTGGGCTGGAAGCTGTTGCTCGAAGCCAAGAAGATCAGCCGGTACTTTAGCCTGGTGCTGACTGTGGCCAGCATGCTGATACTCAACCTCACCGCCTTGTGGCGACCTTGGATCCACTTCCAAGTGCCTCTAGTGCCCCCAGGGGACCCCACAGGCCCCAGGACCATCCCCATCGACACCATCTTCTTCAAGCGCTGTCCTGACATCTCCTGCATGAATGAATATGATAAGAACGCCTGTAAGGTTGGCCCTGTCCTCACCCCTCCTGAGAACTCTTCTTTGTCCCAGAGAACTTCAAGGAAGAGTTTCTCCCCTCTTAGGCTACTCTTCTTACATAAGTGTGCATGTGTGTGTGGAGATCAGAAGGCAACTTCAGGTGTCTTTTCAGGAACCATCCCAGTAGAGTTTCAATCACTGTGACCAAAAGCAACTTGGGAAGGGTTTGTTTCAGAATTGGTTGCAGCAAAGCAAATAATTCATTTTCATGGTCCTTAATTCAACCACCTGTAATACCAGTTCCAGGTAATCTAACGCCATCCTCTGGCCTCTGGGAGACAGAGACAGACAGACAGACAGACAGAGAATATGTGTGTGTGTCTGTCTGTACCTGCATGTGTATGTGTGCAAGTCTGTGTGTGTGTGCACACACATGAATGTGGAGGTCATTAATGTCAGGTGCTTCCCCAATCACTTTCCACCTTAATTTTTAAAAATTTATTTATTGGAGACAGGTTCTCACGAAGTACACCAGGCTGCCCTCAAACTCACAGAGATCTGCCTTCTGTTTCCCAAGAGCTGAGATCAGAGCTGTGCCCCAACATGCCCATCTATTTTAAAATCTTTATTTATATGTGTGTGTGTGTGTGTGTGTGTGTACATTAGTGCAGGTGCTCCCAGAAGCCAGAAGACATCATATTCCCTGAAACTAAAGGTACAGATGATTGTAAGATGCCTAGTGTGGGTGCTAGGAATTGAACTCAGATCCTCCAGAAGAGTAACGGACATGCTTAACTGCTCCACCATCTCCTTAACACAGACTTGGTGCTGGTAATTCTCCTCTTTCCCCAGACTTGCTGGACCTGGCCTGGGCCTGCCTCCTCATCTCCGGTGTCATGAGCTTCTGTGTGTGCATGGGTCTCATCAGCACCATATTCTTCCCCAGCACCAACATGCCCTTGATGGACTTCTCTCTCTTCGTCTGCAGCCTCATGACAGGTGCCCATCATGAAGGCCGGCCACATGCCCTCTATACTCAACCCATCCTCATCTTCACCCTCAGCCCCAGCCCTACCTCCTTACCAATCCCCAGCCATCATGGTACATCCAGGCCTGAAACTAGCCTCATCTCCAGCTCCCATCTCATAGCCAGAAAATCCAAACCCCCGACCTCCTCCGACACCAGTCCCTCCCACCTCATCCTGAATCCATCTTTTCCCAAACCACATTCCTTACTATCCCCAACCTCTTCACAAATCTCACACCCAACTCAAGCCTAGTTATGCACCATGACTGTCTCTCGGTCAGCCCGGCCCTGTCCTTCTAAGAAGTTCAGCCTCACCCTCAGTCCTACTCTCTCCCTAGCCCCCCTTCCTGCTCAGTCCACACTCCAACCTACCAGTTGTGACCTTCCCTTTGAAACTCATCCCAAGTGACTCCCAACTCCATCCTCTTCTTCAACCCTACCCAAGGACATCTTCCCCAGTCACGTCCTTGGACTTGAGCCTTTACACGTTACATGTCTCCACATGTAATGCCGTGTGGAATTGTGTCCCACTGTCCCAACAGCATTTCCTTCGAGCTACTTCATCTCTCCACGCCATGCTCTTCTCATCTCTTGAGAAGGGACACGTTCTCCTTTTTCTTTAAGTGGGTCTCCTGTAGCTGAGGCTGACTTTGATCTACATATATATGCAGCCAAGTATGTCCAACACATCCGTGAACTCCTCCTGTTCCCACCTCCCCAGAGCAGTGGTGGAGATGGAACCTTTGTGCATGCTAGGCAAGCACTCTACCCACTGAGACGAATTTTCTGCCGTGATGATGTAGTGAGTGTTCAACTAGAAAATGTTAACTTTGTTATCTTTGTCACCCCGTGAGTCCCACAGCTGACTCACCTGATCTGATTAGCTAGGCAAGTGTCCCGTTCCTCCTCACCCTTCCACTGTAAACCCCTCCTTACCCAGGGGAGAAGGGGCATTCTTTGGTCTAGGCCATATAAATAACTGAAAACCCCTGGTAAAACCTCCAAGTTTCTAGGATCCATCTGAGGCACACGGGTCAGTGGCATATGTGAATGAGGTGCTCCGTGGTGGCCAGCATTCAGAACCCTGAGGTTGGTGAGACATGGAGGAGTGAGCACCTGAGGCTAACCCTTACTGTCATCATCCCCCAGTCTCTCTAGTGATTCAAGACGGGCAATGCTGATTAGGACATCTGTTTCCATACACATTCCCAAGCTGCAAAAGACTGAGGGCATTTTAATTTGGCGACAAGTGATGATGTTGTCCTGTCCTTGACCACAACTTCCAATAGTTTCACAAAACATTTTTGGAGAGGAACAGCACCACTGAGAACAGAGAGCATGCAACCCTGTCTGTTGGTCGCCGGCTGGTGTCTGCTTTGTCTGGTAGCACTTGCTAAATCATTGATGTGTCTGTTAATTTCTATGCCAGGCTGACCAGGAGTCCCAGTCACCTTCTTTCTTCAGCCTCCCCTTTGCTGGAATGAAGGCATCACACCTCTAATTGTCTAATTATAGTTATTGAGACTGGAAAGACAGCGGGTGGTTAAGAGCACACAGTGTTCCCAGAACTCACAGGGCTGCTCACAACTGCCTGTAATACCAGCTCTCGGGGAGCCGATGCCCTCTTCTGGCCGTGTGTGAGTGCTGCACCCGGTTGTGAACACCAACCCCCACCACACATACTTATAATCAGATAAAATAAATCTTAAATATAATTGTTTCAACATAAACCACAATAGGTGGAGAATGCCTGAATTTAAAATAAGGCATTTTCAGTCAGGTATTTTTATCCTGTCCTTTAATTGGACACAAAGCATTTATGTTATTTTCAACAACTAAAAAAAAAATCTATGTCCCAGTTCTATTAAATCTGAAAGAGTTTCTTTTTTTTCCCTCTTTTCACAAAGTATCTTCAATTCCTGTCTATTTGAATTACCCAAAATGACTGAATTCTCTCTCGGTGGCTCCAGAATTCCAACATCAAGGAGCCAATAATAATGAGAATCATCCCAGTACTTGAGGTTTACCATGGGTCAGGATACCTACCGATCACCACATACCCTCATGATGGCCCTCACAGATGGGCTGGCAGTTGTACCCACTGTACAGATGAGAATATCGAGGCTCAGGCACATTGGAGGCTACTCTAAAGTAAGGAGTAGAGGTAGGGTAAGAGGCCGGGCCTGCGAACTCCAAAACCTTCCAATGTCTCACATCCGGGTACCGTCAAGAGGCCATGGGTGGAGGTTTAGGGTCTGAAGACGGAAGACACTGGTAGCAATGTGGTAGCACATGTTTGCAATCCTACAACTTGGGAGGCTAGAACACGTTTTCTGCAAGTTCGAAGTCAGCCTGAACTGCATGAGTCCAATGCTACCCTGGGCATAAAGCAAGCTCTTATTTCAAAATGGCAACCAAAAGGAAGGCAGTAAGTGGAGGAGGAGAAACAGGGAAGGAAGCACGAGGAGAGAGAAAAAAGAGGCTGCAGACGTAGCTCAGTTGGTGAGCCCTTGCCTAGAGAGACCAAAGCGTTGGGCTCCATCCCCAAACTGGACGTGCTGAGTCTGAGATAGGAATCCTGAGCTCAAGGTCGCCTTCAGCTGCATAGAGAGTTTAAAGAAACCAGCACCATAGTGATAAAGCCACAGCCATGTGGCTAACCCTGTGGGGCTGACACCTGGTCCTGCTGTGTGCCCCACAGGGGTCAGCATCATTCTGGCCGTCCTGTTCTACCTGATGCAGGCCCGGAAGTTCTTACAGGAAGGCATGACTTACACGCTGGGGAGCAGCTTCTACATGGCCTGGACCAACGTCTTCTTCTTCTTCATGATTGGTCTGGCTGGCTTGGGGTAGCCTCAGTGGTGCAGATGATGCCTTGGGGATTGTTAGGAGTGGGGATCAGGTTGCACACAGGGCCAGGGAGGGTGGGACTGGGCTTGGAGCCGGGGCTGGGGATTCTTGTAGATTTGGGGTGGCTTGGGGACAGTATGAGGGTGGAGTTGATTCTGAGCTTAGGGATGGGGCAGGGGTGAGGCCTGGACTATGTGGGGTACACAATGAGGGCTAGCCTCCTGACCTCTGCATCTTCTCTGCCCTCTTCCTCAGGTCTCTTCTCCTATCTGAACTACATGAACTTCTGGTCCATCCTGGCAGTCCAGGCCTTGTGGTCTTAGAACATGACAATGAACTGATACCAATGGTCTACTACCTGACAAGCTTGCTCTCCAGCCCAGAGTAATAATTCTTATTTTAAAGAAAACTATCTTTTGCCTTGAATAATCTATTACTTGGCTTTGTGTGTTGAAAGCACTTGTGGAACTGCCAATACCTCTCCCTCTACTCCCTGCCCGCCTCCACCTTGCCCATTTGGGGCTACTGTTAAGTAGAGGGATAGAAAAGGGATGTGGGAAAAACATCTAAGGCCAGCAAAAAGACTGGGGTGAGGGTCCCAGAACTCACTCTGTAGACCAGGCTGGCTCGAATTCATAGAAGTCTACCTGCCTTTGCCTTCCATGAGTGCTGGGATTAAAGGTGTACCAGCACCACCTGGCCACATAGTGCTTCATGCTTACTGACTTACCCCCATGTCTTAACTTCAACCTTTAGTTCTTTTCATTTCTGCTGTGGTGTTTGTTTTTGAGACAGAGTCTCACTATGTTGACCAGGCTGGCCTGGAACTCGTAGAGATGGGCCTGCCTCTGCCACCCGAGTGCCTCACTGTTCCGAGGCTCCAACCTTTAGTTTCACTCACCTTTTCTGAGAAAATCCTGCTTACATCCTCCACTCACCTCCCATCCTTTCCTGCAGTTTCTCCCTCACTCACCCCTACTCTTCTTCCCAAAGGCCCTCAACACAAGTCTGCTCCGCATAGGGCTTTGGGAGGGAGGTACGGGGCCAGTAGTCAGCTGCTGAATGGGGAAGGGTTGACACCCAGGTAAAACGCCCATCCCTTCCCAGGTCCCCACCACCTACTTCCTGCAGAGGGAATGGGGAGCCCCATTTCTTATTCCCATAGGTCTAGAGACTCTGTCACTGACTTGGGACTCACTAGAGGCAATGATCTGCACAGGTCCAACCTTTTGACATCATCACATGATAATATTATCTACAAAGTTTGTATCCAAGCACTACACAATCAAAGGGCTAGCACGATGACTTAGTAGTTAAGTGTTTGCTTGCCTTCCCAGGAGACTGAGTGCAGTTACCAGTTAGCTGGCTCACACTGCCTGTATGTAACCCCAGCTCTAGGGAGTCTGCTACCCTCTTCTGACCTCGGCAGGTACTACACCCACCCACCCCCATACACACACACGCACGCACGCACCCACACACCACACACGCACCCACCCACACACGAAAATAAAAGTAAATTTGAAAAAAAACCTGCACAATTGAGTTATCAAAAAGCAGCAAGGGGGGGCTGAATAGACAGCTCAGCCTGTGGTACGCAGACATACATGCGAACAAAACACGCACATTTTAATTTCACAAAAAGAATTAGATCCTTCCTCATGTGCTCCAGACTGGTGTGGAACTCACTAAGTAGACAAGATGGAACGTGAGGTCGGAATCTCTTGCTGGTGTTCAGGTGGACACAACCGTGCCGGCTTACATAATGCTGGGGGTTGAAGCCAACACTTCTACAAGCTGGGCAAGCTCTCTTCCAACTGAGCCCCAGCCCCAGCGAATGTCCATTTTTAAATAAAGATGAGCTACAACTAAATGCCTTCAAACAGACAGTCCCAACCCTGTGCCCATCGGGAGAAGGCTGAGAGGTGAGGGAATCCACGGGAAGAGAAAGGAGGTGTCTTATTTTTATGTTGCTATGATAAAACCTCACTCAGTCCCAGAGATCCAGGCCCCGGCCCTCTTTCCTCAGACTCAGGGGTCCACACCTCAGTCCTCCTCCTTTAGACCGAGGCCCAGGCCCTGCCCTCCTCCCTCTGAGCCATTGGTGCAGACCTAAGGCACCCTCCGGCAGGCTCAGGGAAGCCCCGCGGTTGCTCACGAGCGTCCTTGCTCGGCCCCGCCCATCACAGAGCACATCCGCCTCTAACCGCACCACTCCGGGGCTTCCTCTGAGTCTGTCAGTCAGTGCGTGTCCCGCCTCCCGCGCTGCAGCTGCCACGGCGGTTGGGTAGGCCCTAGAAGCGCAACCCAGCTTCCGGAGCCGAGCCTTGCTCCCCTGCCGCGCTGGCCAGTCCGTGGCTTCCGGTTCTGGCCCCGCCTACTCTCGGGGGCCTTTCTCGCCCCGCCCATCCTTGTGGGGCTGCCTCAGAACTGCCTGACGAGAATGACGGAAGAGCTGTGCGGGTATGTCCTTTATCCCTTTTATTCCTCTTTGGAGACAACACTATCTCGTCTCCTGACCAGGGATACTCTAGCGGCAGCGGACGCTTATTCTTTCTTCCGTCTCCAACGCGTGATTCCCAACAAAGGCTCCATTGTAGGCTGCCTCAGGGCGGAGCCTGCGGAGCGCCGGGGGCGGGGCGTGCGGGCTCAGTGGGCGGGACTGGCAGGCGGCGCGCGCTATAAAGTGGGACTCGCGGCTCCGGCGCGCGCTTGAGGAGCGCGGCCGGGAGGTCCTCGCCTTCGCGGTGAGTTTTCTCGTGCTTGGCCCGGGCGCCATGCGGTGTGCGGTGCTGCCCTGGGAAGGGCGAGTCCGGAGGTATCGTGGCCCGGCCGCGGGCTCGCGTGTCGCGTGGATGGGCTCAAGGGCGCTGCTTGGGGCCGCGGGCGCGCTCGGGTTGAAACCGGGGTGTCCCGTGAAGGGACGGATGCGGGCGCTTTCGGGGACAATGCCTCACGCCAGGGGTGTGGAGCTGGGGATGCCGGGACGGGCCTTCCTTTGTCTGTGCCTTAGCCGGGCTACGCCATTTCTGCTGCTCTCGTCGCGGGTCCTGTCCGCCATCTTACCCGTTTTTAGGTGGCAGGGAGGGGGGTGTGTGTCATAGGATTTTCCTCCCAGTGACAGCCCCGTGCTACCTGCAGGTTCTCTCCGTAGGAAGTCTCTACCACTGCCCCTACCTCCGTGTGGGATTTTGGCATTTTTGTGCAACCTAGAACACATGAGGGCTGGAGGAGGATGGGGTGTAGGGGCAGACACAAGATACGGAGTTACCGAGGCGGAAGTGAGTCCACGTGGAGGACTGGAGTGCTTCGGAGCCGCAGGTAGGAGTAGACAGGAGAAAGGAAGTCAGGCCTTTTTTCCCGCCCGCGAGAACACCGATGCAGTGTTGGACCTGATGGTACAAGCATGTCATCCCAGCTACCCGAATTTTGAAAGTAAATCACGTATTTCACCCAAGGTATCTTAACCACACGTTCGCCTCTAAAACTGCGTTTTTCTGCCTCCTGGTCAATGCTATTCTTACACTTAATTAGACTCTTCCTCCTGGGACCCTGCTGTTCTCTTTGTGTTCATTGTGAGGTCATCTCCCAGGTATCTTCCACAGGGTGGTTCAAATCTGGCTGAGTAAGGCCCCTGTTTATCTCACATTTTAGTGTGTTTTTTTTTAATGTGTGTGGTGATTTTGTTTTTTTCCATAGAACAACCCCTTAGTTCCTCCCGCCAGGTTCTTCAGAGGGATTTGTGTCTTTACAGGTTTTGCTTTTCAAGGTTACTAGCAGATACAGCCAAGACAGGGAGCGCCAGAGTCCTCTTCATGCCGTGGGTCCATAGGAAATCTCTATGGACCTGTGTCACTGGGGAAGTTGGAGCATCTAGTGGATTTTGTGTTTATAGCTTGGCCACCATCCCTGAAGGCAAGTAGCCTTGACACTGCAGAAGGCCTGAGGCTCCCATGATGTTTAGCACTGGGCTCCGATCATCTGTGAGGACACGGTGCACCTCCAGGACCTTTGACACCTGGGGGTCTGAGGGGCTCTGGTTTAGGTGTCCTGCATCCGTGACCTGTCCCCACACATACACCCTCACCAAGTCCTTCCTGTATTACAGGTGTGTCTTGAAGACAAGTCACCGTCTACCATCATCTCTTTGTGGTGAGAACCTTTATTTCCTGATCACCTACAATAGTGTACCTTCCTCTTAGGCAACCTTCCATAATTTGGGATTTGATGGGAACTCTCACTCATGAGGCCAGTCAGCTAGTTGGTAGAGATTCCAGCCCTGCTGCTCATAACTGGTCAGTAAGCCATCTCACTTAAATCCAGGTGCTAGATGTACCATATATATTGAGGGCTGGTAAGGTGCAGAAGGGCCTGATCTTCAAACTCAGTTGAGGGGAATTTTTTTTAAGAACCTTGAATTAACATAGGAGTCATTATTGAAATAATAAGTTTTATCAGAAGACAAGAATGTGTTATCTGGGGAGCGGGGACAAGTTTTCAGCTCTAGGAGAATCTCTCCTTGTTTCTTGGGTGTTGGGGACAGGGAGAACAATGGCTGTATTGCTCCCTTGAGATATTTTGTATCTGACTATACTGGGCTTGGGCTAGTAAGGAGGTCCTGCATATCACTGAACACATGGAGTCTCTATGGGCAAAGATAATGAGAACTGAACAAGAGAGAGAAAATACAGCTGGATAGGGATACCTGGTGCCTGTAGTCTATGTCCAAACCCCACTAAGTCAGAATAGAGCAGGCAGGACAGAAATGTGTCTATTGTTCACCCCAGAACCATATGGGACTTAAAAACACCTTAGCTGGATGGTAGGTGGCACACGCCTTCAATTCTAGTACTCGGGAGGCAGAAGCAGCTGGATCTCTTTGAGTTCGAGGACAGCCTGGTTTACAGAGCTGTTACACAGAGAAACCCTGTCTCAAAAAAATAAAATAACAGCCAAAACAAAAATAGCACCTGAAAATGGGAGTCACAGGGGCTAAATTTTTCTTTCTTAATTATGTGACTGCATCTTTGGACAGCTCATTTCTGCACAAAATTGATACTTGTGGTTGCTAAATAACTGTGAGCACTTGTGTGAGTACTTGAGGCATAACAGTAGGATGACCATGAGTTCAAGGCCAGCCTGGGCTACATAGCAAGACTGTTGGGTGGAGAAGGAAAATGAGTTCACCAAATCCTGCCAGGATCCTAGCAATAGGCAGGTGTCGTTTCTCCCCCACAGAATGCTCTGGCAAAGTCAGTTCCCAAGTTGCAGTGTGCAGCAGTGATGCTGGCCAAGCTCAGGCAGGTTGAAGAGTTAGTTGTGGGAGAACAGGCCTGGAGGAAGGGCAGAAGCCATTGAGGCACATGCTCACTATATCCTGGGAGGTCCAAACAGGCCTGGAGCTGAGCCACGAGACCAGGACCAGCCTCTACATTTTGACCCACATTCCCAAGGACGAAGCAGTCTTAGTCTCTTTGCAGCAGGGGCAGGGTGGGCAGTGAGGGGTAATTGTGGCACCTGCCTATAATCCCAGCATTCCACGTGGCTGAGGCCCTGAGTTCACATCCATCCTGGGCTACATATAGAAATAAAGTAAGATGAGGTATGGAAGTGTGTCTGTAATCCTCTACTTTGGGAGGTAGAGGCATGAAGAAGTGTTGCAGACCCTAAGGCGGACTGCTTTCTCAGACACTGTCAGTCATTTTCTTGCCTGAACTTGTGGGCACTGGACTACATTATTATCCCTCTTGGGAAAACAAGTAGCTCTGGGACCTAAGAGGGGGAGGGTGTTGATACTACCAGGACCCCTGTGATGTCCAGCACTGGGCTCTGACCACCGTGAGGACATGGTGCCCCTCAGGGACCTTTGACACCTGGGGGTCTGAGGGGTCCTGGCCACAATGGGAGTGGATGGAGAAGTTGTGCTCTTCATGCGTCTCAGCAGCCTCTTTCCCCTTCCCTCCTGCCAACAGACAGACAGTTCCTTCAGACCGCAGGCTCCCCCCCCCAGGTAAGCAGAAGGGTTGCCTAAGGTGGGGTAAAGGTCTAAATAGTGCTCGTACAGACAGCTCAGTTTAGACTTGGTGCTTGTGTGGTGAGAAATCCTGTCGGTGTGTGCTTGGGGGACCCCTGTGATGTCCAGCACTGGGCTCTGATCACCCTGAGGACACAGAGCTCCCCAGGACCTTTGACACCTGGGGTTCTGAGGGGTCCTTACTACAAGGAGGGTGAATGGGTTATCATGGTCTTTCTGGGCCTTACCAACCTCTTTCCCCTCTCCTTCCCTCCTACAGGCGGTTTCGGCAGACAGCCTGCTTCCCTCCAGGTAAGAACAGAAGGGCTGTCTGGGGTGGGGGTACAGGTCTGAACTCCCTTCAGACATAGGAGTGGGTGAAGAAGTTGGACCAGGTTGCCATGAGGCATCCTATCATACTGTTCTTGGTAACCCCCATGATGCACAGCACTGGGCTCTGACCACCGTGGTGACATGTTGCTTGCCCCCGGGACCTTTGACATCCGGGGGTCTGAGGGGTTTCCATTCTAGGTGACGCTAGGTGGGAGCATGGCCCTTTGTCACCTACTAGATGCCCTATGTCTTCTTGCAGCCTCTGTATCAGCCTTGCTTCTAGCCCTCTTGTCCTTGCTTTGAGGCTGTAGGGCCATGGCGGAGAGAGTGCTGGTACCCACTCAGATGGGCCGGGGGGACCGCTACTACACGTACACGGAGCTGTTGGCTATCTCACGGCGTTTCAAGCAAAACCCCAATGAGCTCATGGTCACCTGGATCCTGCGGGTGTATGACCAGGGAGGCCCTGCCCTGTCCCTGAATTCCGGGGAGCTGGGGCTTCTGGGTGACCTCACCCACGATGCCATCTTTAACTACCGATGCAAAGCCCTGCGGGGGGGTGGCTGCCAGACACTGTTGAGCTGGCTGCTGCAGGCCTGGCGCCAGCGCTGGGAATCCTCCCTGCATTTTGAGGCCACTGAGCTGCCCTTTAGGCCTTGGACCACCATGGAGGAAGGCATTCAGCTGGTGCGGGAGCTGGGTATGATTGAGTGGATCTACCTTGACCCAGAGGGGCCTGTGGACCTGGCCCCAGAGGATGTGGCCTTCACTCAGGGCCTGCAGCGCCGCCTGCTCACAGCGGCGCCCTCTGAGCTGCGGCTCTCGCTGGTCAGCCTGCTGGTGCGTGGCATGACGGTACTGGAGGCTGTGATGGAGATCCAGACCATTGCTGATGTGGGCCTGCTTTGGCGCCAGAGCCAGCCAGGCCGCACCAAGCTTATGCTGGGCCCCAATCCAACTCGAAAGGACCTCCTAAGCTGGCTGCTCAGCCACGGCGTGCCCCGGGAGCAGGTGGACAGGCAGCCCACCAAGGTGCTCCTGGAACTGTACATCAAGGAAGCCAAGCGCAGTCGTGGTCACCCCAGCTATGGGCTGGCTGAGGAGCAGCCCCCGCCACCTCCCTACTCCGACCAGGCCTGTGGGGAAGAGCCACCCGTGAGGCATGACTAGACCTGGACTGGCTTCAAGAGCACACTTGTACCCCAGGGTTGAAGGCGGGGAGATGATTGCACAGAGGCTGCCTGCAACCTAGGCCACTGGGAAACAGCTTGGCAAACACTTTCCCCACATGTCTGTCCCTCTAGCACTTAGTGCCAAGTCCCCAGCCACACGGCCCATGTGAGCCACAAGTGGCCATCTGCTGTGAATCTAGGGTGCTTAATGGCCCTCTAGTTAGACCCTTGAGTTGGAGCATAAGGCCATGCTGAGTGGCCACATCAGGGTCCCCACCCCTCTGCTTCCACGTGGGCCCCAAAGCACTACATACAGGCCATCTTGAATTTTTTACTTTTTCAATGCAACACTTACATAGACTTTAGTATAGGTCACACTTCCATGGACCTTTACTGGGTGTTTGACACTTTAGGGCCAGTCTCCCTATTTTAAAGGTTTAACATTGTAAACTTTTCTAATGCAGCATTTTTACTTTATATTTTATTTTGAGCTTATGTGACACTTTGGTTTTGGGGAGGGGAGAGCCCCCTTTTGTAAAGACTTTGCTTTGGAGATCCTGTCCCCGGTTTCTTTTAGCCATGCCCTTCCCTTTTGAAGCACCTTCCAGCTGGGTCTGGTGTCCCTGGCTGCACACATGGCCCCTGGCCAGTGTGGATCTGGATTTAATGGAGGGGCGAGATGGGCAGCCCTGGACCTTCCGCCTTCGAGAGTTCCTATTAAATGGCTGGTTCATTACCCTCTGTGGGGCGTGCTGTTTGACTTGGTCCCGGCGTGGGTAGAATCGGGGTGATGAGCTGGCTCCCGGGCAGGTGAGGCACAGGCGTACTTGCCCACCTCTGGCCTGTTTCCAGAGGATGCTCCAGCGGTCTGGTAAGGAAAGTGGGCTGGTGGGAGCCAGTCACAGCCACAGGCTGGCCTTGGCCCCTACCTTGCATCCTGCATTTGGTTTGAGTTTGGTTTGGTTCTTGTGAACCAGACCCTCTAGCTCAGGCTATCCTGGGATTCCAAGGTATGCTCCATAGCTTCCTCTTGATCTTGGGTCTTACAACTCCCCCAGATAGGATCCTGGCCACCTCTCAAGACAGGGAACCCCCATTGACTGCAGTGTCAGCTGGAGGTTCTGGGGAGTGATGGGTACACAGACAGTGGGGTTTCTGGGGTGGCAGTCCTGGGTACAGGCTCATCGTCAGGGACTTCCCTCTCCATGGAGAGGTTAGGATAGTGGTGAGAGGGTGACTTCCAGGAGGCACTGGCCACCGTCAATACCCTGGGTACTGTGTGACCAGAGCAGCCAGTCCCATCTGGCTGCCACCAGCAAGAAGTAATTGCTGGGGGTAGAGTTGGGCTCTCACCTGCACACCTGCTTATTGTGCCACACCTGTATGTGTAGTGCCTGACTGCAGACATTGAGTATGCTCAACTCCTGGGGCCCACCCAGCCTTCATCCCCACACGCGCGAGCATAGTAAGTGACAAGTCAGAGTAGCAGGTGAGCACACGTGTTGGGATCCAGTGTCAGCTGAGAGGGTGCTTTGTGTCTATCCATCCCCCTCATACGGCCCCTCCCAGGGCCCTCAGGCAGCTGGGCCTCCAGGCCAACAGGCCGAGCCCCAGGCTCAGCACAGCCAGCACAGCCACAGCTCCAGCCAGCAGGGGCACCGTGGCTGCAGGAAGAACATGGGGGTTGTGAATCCCGGGTCTTGGGAACTCCCCACTCCCGCCCCTGTGCAGAGGGCTGTCACCTGGGGGACTAGTAGGTTCATAGGAGCCGTGGCAGGGGGCCCCATGAGCCGGAGGCCTGGCTGGAGCAGTCAGCTGCTGGAAGCGCCCAAGCGGACAGGGAGCTGGGCACCCAGGGACCCTGAGTGGCAGGGGCGGGCGGGACGTGTCATTTCGGTAGATGAGAGAGATGGTGACATTCCTGAAGGTGGAAAGGACAGTAGCATCGCCCATTCCCCGCCTCCTAAAAGTCCACCCCACCCAATGCCAAGCCATCACCCATCCTCACTCTCCGTCTTCCTCCTCGGGTTCCCTGGAGCTCCCCCGGAATTCAAAGGCCATGCAGGCAGCATAAGGTGGGGTGTTGCCATCGTAGAGGCCCAGGGCCCCCTGGAGGGCCAGCAGGGTGCTGTCATGCTGCAGATAATTCCATCCAGGGCAGATGAATTAGGACCCCAGAATGCTCCTAGCATCTACCGTGTTCCCCCTTAGAAATACCCCAGACCACTCCCGTCCACACGATGGGCATTCGATGATTGTCCAGACAAGCAGAGTATGCCTGGGCGGCCACTCAACACTCAGTCCTTGCAGGGAGACTGAAGTCTTGCTCCTCTGACCCCCTCCCCGGTCTTTCCTGTGTTTCTAGTGATGCAGTCCCGTTAGTCCTGTAGGAGATGAGAGTGACCCAGGCAGTGGACCACCCATGGAGCAGCAATGCCTGCCTTTCCCAGGGACTTACAGCCGAGTACATGACCATCTTGAGGGGCAGCCCCAGGCGCTGGGCCCGGGAGAAATTGCTGAGAATGGCATCCAGCAGAATCCCTGAGTGACAGGAGCAGAGTGCTGATATGTCTCCTCCCCACCTGAAGAACAGCTCCCCCACCCATGGGCCCACACCTCACCCCCTGTCAGCTGGGCCTTTTCTGCTGCTCTGGGTGGCCCCACATGCGCCCTGATGTCCAGAGCTGAAATCTGTGACAGAGTCCTCAGGACGTCTGGGGAGGCCCAGGATGGGAGGGCAAGGCCATGGGCACGCTGCGGAGAGAAAAGGAGAGGGGGAGTCCCCAGTCACCCCCTCATTTGTTTTGTTGTGGATAATGTGTGTGTGATGCGCACGTGTCTGTGTAGGTTAGCGGTTACCTGCAGGTGTTCCCCAGGCCTGGCCCACCTAGTTGGAGAGTCTCACTGGCCTGGAACTCACCACGTAAGCCAGGCTGGCTAGCCTCCTGTGAGCTGCAGCTTCCAGCTTTTTCATGTAGGTGTTGGCAGTCCAAACTCCTCATGCTTGTCCACTAGGGTTTTATTGACAGCCAACCCTCCAGACCCTGAGCCTCATTCAAACCCCTTAAAGATGAGCTCGCCTCGGTGTGGGCCAGACCAGAGTCCTTACCAAGCACTTTGGGGCCAGAGCTGCCTTGGAATCAGGCATTTGGGATCCTAGAAAGATCCAATGGATGTAATATGCTATGTACCAGGAAAGGGGGTGTCATATGCTGTCACCACCTACCAGCCTGTCACTGTCCCCACCATGCAAATGGAGAAACCAGAGTACACAGGGCTAAGTCACTAATGGACAGGCCAAGTGTAAATTTGAAATGTCCCCTGGAGAGGAGAGGCGATGAGGACTTACCTGGCAGATCAATGTGTCCAGAACTTTCCACGCTCTGCGGAGTGGCTCTCCAACCAGTGACAGCCCAGTGAAGTTGCCCAGGCGGGTCAGGAAGTCCTGAGTGGAGATGCAGGGCTGCGTGAGCCCTGCCTGACCAGTCCTTGCTTGGCACCCAGCACCACCAGCCCACTGCAGCGACTCACCGTCCAGCCCTCCAGGGCCTCCTGGTAGTCAGCTGCCTCTGTGGACTCCCGCAGAAGCTCGTGGTAGCGGGGACAGCTGCGCATGGGGAACCTCAGCAACTGGGGGAGACGGAGGCTTAGGGAAGACAGCAGCAAGTCTGGGGGCTCACAGTTGGCCATGGGGCTAGGATCTCTGGCCTCTCCCAGTTTCCCCTGTACCCAGCTATGTTGCGTAGGGTGGCAGCTAACCCCTCCGGACAGTTCCATCAGGGACAGTCTGAAGTGGGTTCCCCTGGATGGAAGCTGCCTCTACCCCTCTCCAGCTCAGTGCTACACTTTGTCTCCATCCCTTCTTGTGTGTGTGTGGTGCTGGTTATGGAGCCCAGGACCTTGGACAAGCTAGGCATTCCCTCTACTCCTCAACCACACCCCAGCCCCTCACTGGGGGATTCTAGGCAGGAGCTTCACCACTGAGCCACACTCCCAGCCCCTCACTGGGGGATTCTAAGCTGCAGGGGGAGAGGGGATTGCCCACCACTGACCTCATCCTGAGTCCTCTTGTTAATCTTGTTAAACGTTTCATTTTGAGAAAGTCTCACTAAGGTTCCCAGAATGACCTTGAACTCTAGACCCTTGTGTTTTTCCCATCAGATCCAGCCCCCTGACCTTGTCCTCAGACACAGGCACTGTGTGCACTGGAATGGGCTTCCAGTCGGCCTCAGGACTTCCAGGGGCAGCCTCGGGGAACAGCCCAGCCAGGTTGGCCTGTGCGCTCTCCAGTGTCCGGTCAAAGTCTGTGCTGCGGATGTACACCTGGGGTTGATGAGGGCAGCAGAGGGGTGGGCAGGCCCGGGGTCAGCCGTGTCCCAGTCACAAGCTTCAGACTCAGTTTGGGGTGGGTTAGGTTACAGGTCAGGCACTGAAGGCGAGGTCAAGTGTCAGGGACAGGTCGGAGGGTGATGTGTTGGACTGCAGGGATCTCCTGGTGTTGAGAGTTGAAGGTCAAATCAAGGGGGTCAGAAGTAAAAGGTCACGATGGAGAAGGTGGGAGTTCAGTCCTCAGGGGTCAGGGCCAGGAGGACTCAGCCCAAGGGTGTCAGCACAAAAGGACAGTCAGATCTCATGAGGGCAGAGACCCGGGCTGGAGGTTGGCAGTGGGGGTGCTGCTCAGCGATGGAGGGCTTGCCAAGCATGTGTAGGCCCACATCCCTTAGAGACACCCCACCCCCTAAGAACATCAGGATCAAAGGTCAGAAAGTCAGGACTAAGGTTGAAGTCGGGTCAGTGGTCAGACTGTCATAGTTTGGGAAGTCATAAGTCAGAGCCCAGTGTGGATTCTCTGCTCACTCAGAAGCCCGTGGGAGTGTAGATCAAGTTGATAGAGACCAAAGACAAGAGGTGAAGGCCAAAGGGGCGCTGGGGTCAAAGGTTAGCCAAGCACCTCTTCACGCCGGTACTCAGGACTCAGGAATGCCTTGTAACGCCTCCTCAGAAATCGGCCGAGCTCCAGCTGCTGACGGATCCCCTCCTGGGGACAGAGGCAGCCTCAGCAGACCCTCTCCACCTGTCCCCCAGCCCTCTCCCTCACCCCCTCTCCCTCCTCACCTTGGTCAACTGGCCCAGGCCTCGAGGCCACAAGGTAGAGGCAGCTTCCTTGTGTGGGTCTGTGGGGTAGGAGGCCAGTGGGGCCCGGTCGCCATGGCGAAACACCTGGGGATGTTGGAGAACCAGGTCAGGGCTGATCTGGGAGGTAGAGAGAGGGTCAGGTGGGATGGGAGGCTTCGCACCAGAGCCACAAACAGCAGGGGCCCCTCCAGCAGGGCCTGAGGTGTCGGCAACAGCAGCAGCAGCAGCAGCAGGGGGCCAGCGGTGTGGCCCTGAGACCCGGGTTCGGCCATTTCCTCAGAGCAGACGCTGAGCTCAGCCTCCGTCTGTGCTGTGGCCTCACCTGCTCATTAGCTTCCGACTCAGCCCCCTGCAAGCAGCGCAGGCCCCAGCATGCTCCCCAGGCTGCTGAGGCCTGGGATTAACGCAGTTCATCTTCACAGACCCCCCAGGAGATAGCCATTTGGCCACCAGCATCCCTGTTGTGCTGATGGGGAAACTGAGGCACGACAGGACCACTGACTTGCCTGAGGAAGCATTTAGGGAGTGGCTAAGCTAAGAGGTAGTTACAGGGAACCCCACCCCCGCTTCCCCTTGTTTCCTGTTCCTTTTCTAAAATGTCAAGTCACCTTCCTGGACTTCTTGAAGATCACTTTCTTAACATACCATGTACAACTGGTTAAAACAAACAGGGCTGAGGCGGGAGATCAGTGCTATAAGAATATAATATATTTATGTTCTGAGGGGACAGAAAGCATGGCAGGCTTCCAGGGGAGAAGAGAGCTTCCTTTTTTTCTTTCACTTCCTTTTATCCTCACCTGTGCTAAAGCTCCCTATCTCCACCCTTATGGGCGGAGTTTTGTGGGCTCACCCCTACACAGGGCTCTGTAGCCAGGAGTCAGGCAGATGTGTGTGGGATAGTTTGGAGTTACTGTAGTTCTGTGTGTCTGCCTCACAGAACGAATCAGGTGAGTTCAAAGTGCATTAAGACTTAAGAGACCCTGTTTGCAGAAAGGAGCTGGTAGGTTGTGTTTATGAGCACACAACAAATGACCCTAGAGCTTTAGTAACTTGCGTGTGTGCAGGCGTGTGTGCGTGGGGGGGGGAGCCAGATGCCAGCTGTCTGTCAAACACGCTCTACCTTTTAGACACCTGGAGCTTGCTCATTCGGGCTAGACCAAGCTCTAGAAATCCTCCTGTCTCAGCCTCACAAACTGTGGAATCACAGTTATAAGCCATCCGGCCAAGATCTTTAACATGGGTACTGGGGAGCCGAACCCAGTACCTCATGATTGTGGGACCAATGGTCCACCTCCCCAGCCCCAAGCGCAGTATCTTAAGGCAGTTGTTTTTGCTCATGGGTCAGGAATTGGGAGGAATTAGCTGTTTAAGTTTTGAGATTTTTTTTTTTGAGACGGTGGTTTGAGACAGGGTCTTACTATGTAATTCTGGCTGTCCTAAAACTCACTGCATAGACCAGGCTGGCCTCAAACTCACAGATCTCTGCCTCTCAAGTACTGAGATTAAAGGCGTGCATCACTACAGCAGGCCATGATTTTATGTATTTTTATTTTATATGCTTGTATGTATGTGCGTGCAGTGCCCACAGAACGAGAAGAGGGCGCGGGATCCTCTGGAACTGGAGTTACAGATAAGCTACCGGATGAGTTCTGGAACCCAGGCTCCCAGGAAAGCAGTCAAAACAGCAGCTGGGTCCTGCTTGGTACTGCTGTCATTTGAGCACATGCGGAACAAGTGCTGTATCTCTGAGCTACAGCTTTAGCCACAACACCTGCTTAAAACGTTTGAATGTGGTAGACAGAATTGCCTCCCATTGCCCAGGCTAGCCTCCCATTGCCCAGGCTAGCCTTGAACTCATTCTGTAGCCTAGGCTGGCTCCAACTCGCAACACTCCAACTTCAACTTCCCAAATGCTCAGATGACAGGTGTGTGCTACCAGGCTCCAAAAGTCCTATCAATCCCAGCTGGGCACGGTGGTATTTGCCTTTATTCCCAGGACTCAGGGGACAGAGACTAGGTGGATCTCTGAGCTCAAGGTCAGCCTGGTGTGTGTAGCAAGCTAATCCCAAAGCAAAACAGGAGACAACCATAGGTGACCCAGCCAAGGGAACGATGTGGAGTGGTGACCAAGTTCTGTCCCCAGAAATGTCGGCACACTCTGCCTCCCGTGCTGCTATAATGATTGGCCCCCAACCCACAATCCCCAGCTGCCCGGGAGGCGCCAGCTCCACAGTTGGTGTGACTGGAAATCACGGTGTCCTCAAGTCGAGCATCCGCCACCAGCTGTGAGGGAGAGCCTCATCCCTGCCTTTCCCACCTCTTGGAGCTGTGTCCCAGGACTCCCATTTTCTTGTTTTGGTTTTTTTAAACTTAATTTAAATTTTTTTCATTTTACATTCTAATCCCAGTTCCCCCTCCCTCCCCTTCTCATTCCATTCCTCAGAGGGAAGGCCTCCCTTGGGGAGTCACCAAAGTCTGGCATACCAAACGGAGACAGGACCAAGCCATTCCCCCGAATTAGGCTGGGCAAGGTATCCCCCCATAGGCAATGGGCTCCAGAAAGCCAGCTCATGCACTGGGGATAAAACCTGGTCCCACTGCCAAGGGCCTACCAAAAGATCAAGCCACATAACCACATAACCATCGCCCACATTCAGAAGGCCTAGTTTGGTTCCGTGCAGGTTCCCCACGTGTCAATTCTTGGAGTTAACCAGTATCTTGGGTCAACTGTCTCTGATTTTTCCCATCATGCTCTTGACACCCCTCCACACTGTTCATATGATCAGTGAACTCCAGGAGCTCAGCCCAGTGCTTGGCTGTGGATCACTGGATGTAGATTGTATGATGGGAGTTTGGGTGGTCATTAATCTGTTTACAGGGCAAGGCCAGTTCAGGCATCCGCTCCACTATTGCTAGGAGTCTTAGCTGGGATCATCCTTGTGGATTCCTAGTTTCCCTTGCGTGAGGTTTCTCCCTACCCCATAATGGCTCCCTCTGTCATGATACCTTTCATTGCTGTCCCTCTGTCATGATACCTTTCATTGCTGTCCCTCTGTCATGATACCTTTCATTGCTCTCCCTCTGTCATGATACCTTTCATTGCTGTCCCTCTGTCAACTTGGCCATCTGGATCCCTATATTCCCAGCTCCACCCCCTCCCTTCTAACCCCTCTCAGTTTACTCAGGAGATGTTAACTATTCCCCTTCCAGGAGTCCAGTTTCAAAGACAGGCACATTCCTTCACCTTTGGATTCTATGGTCTGGTGTCCCCTGCTTCTCTGTGTGTGTGTGTGTGTGCTTATTCTTTTTCTTTATCGTTATAATTGAAAATAAGTTACACTTGTGGGGTGGGGGCATGCACATGCCATAGCACATATGCAGAAGTCACCGGAGGATTTGTCAGTTCTGTTCTACCAGTGAGTTCTGGGAATTGAACTCAGATCATCAGGCTTGTCAACAGACTACCCACTGATCCATTTCAACAGCCCTTAATTTTTTATTTTCTTCATTGGTTTATTCACTTAGTAACAGGGTCTTATGTACCTCAGGCTACCCTTGAACTCTATATACTATGTAGCTGCATTGGTTTATTCACTTAGTAACAGGGTCTTATGTACCTCAGGCTACCCTTGAACTCTATATACTATGTAGCTGAAGGTGACTCTGAACTCCAATCCAGACCGAAAGAGCAACAGTGGACCCAAGAAATTACTCCATCTGAGTCCAGCATGGTGAACCAGTTGGTGCACTGGGGTCACTCACAGGATTGTGACTCAAAAGCAGCTGTAGCACCAGAGAGTCCCGCAGAGGAAGGATGCGTGGAAGCCATGTCAATGGAGTCCTCTGTGCACCTCTCAGGAAACCCCACTTAAATGTGTCCTCCCTCCAGAAACCACCTACTGTTTATATGACTTGTGAGCCCAGAAAAATGTCTTGAGTTTTGTGAGCCTTGAGCCTTTTCCCCACCGTGGCCTAGAGAAACATCTGCACCACAAACATAAGTTCTCTTCTGTGTGCAGAAGCCAGAGGTCAATGTCAGAAGTCAGAGGTCAATGCCAAATGTCTTCCTTAATTGCTTTTCTCCTGTTCCGATGGTTCTTGCTGAACCTGGGGCTCTCTTATTTGCTGGCAAGCCCCAAGGATCCTCCTGTCCCCACCTCCCCAGGGTTAAGGTGACAGGCACACGAGCCACACCTGGCTTCCTATGGGAGTGCTAGGGAGTCAAACCGGGTCCTTGTGCTTATGTGATAAGCCGAGGTGTGCTCAGACATCTTTAAGTGACTCGCTGAGGCCATCCCGCTAACAGGCGCCAGAGCTGGGATTCAAACCCACACAGACACTCACTCCAGGAGACTTCCCACCCTTCCCTCCTCAGTGTCCAGGCTGGGGCATCACCACAAAGGTGGAAGTGAAGGCAGTCAGCACGCACACATGAGCGTGCGCGCGCGCACACACACACACGCACACACACACACACACACACACACACACACACACACGGTACCTCTCGTAGCCTCTAGTCATTCTAAACGTATAGAGGACAGAAAGAGTTAGGAACCTACGAAGAGCACTGGGCGGTCAGAGTCACAGTGCCTTGCTGTCCCTGTGGTCCAGACGTCAGAATCTGCCATGGTCACCAGGCTTCACACCATTATGATGCTCCTGCCATCCTCCCAAACTGGGGACCAAATTCTAGTCTAACTCCTGACTTTGGTCCCCACTTTTGCATCTGGCAGATGGGATGCAGCTTTGCCTGGTCCGTTAGACCGGTCTCCACACCTCAGGCATTCTCCTGCCTCAAGACACCAGAGCCGATCTGTTCCTCCCCTGCTCCCAATTCTCCATGACTCCCCAGCATATTCCAGAGACCTCCGTGTGGAGCTCCAGTTCTGAACTCTCCATCCCGCAGGCCCCGATGCTGGACTTAGACACCATGTGTGGCATTCCACTCCTACATCTCCCTCTCCCAACCCCCAGTGTGAACGTCTCTTCTACCCAAAATGCCCTTTCCTGGTCACCATGGTCACCATTCTGGTCTCCCCGACAACCCCCTCCCATTCTTGAGGCCGCTTTCCTGTCTGACTCTGAGGCCTGAGGGAGGGAGGTCGAGCCGCTGTGTGGCTAGGACCCATGGCCATGAACTTGCAGGAAGTGAGGACAGGTGAAGGATCTGGGGCAGGGGTGGGGACAGGGAGGGGAGGGAGCTGACCCTGACCTCCTCCCCCAGAATGTGACCTTGGCCATGGCCGTGTTCACCATCCTCGCTTCCATCTACTTCTTCCACAAGGTGAGGGGGAGACCGAGCGCGGGAGGGTCTGTGTAGCCTTTGCTTCACTGAGTCGCTGTGTGTCTCCATCACCTTTCTGTCCGCTCTAGGCTCAGCAGTGAGGAAGCACAACAGGTCCCCAGCCCACCAGCCTGGCCCCTGCTCTGCTGCCATGGCTCTGGCCTCTGAGATCTAATAAATGAACAGCATCAGACCAAGGCTTCCTGCTGCCCACAGCCCTGCTCCCACAGCCCTGCTTCCCACAGCCCTGCTCCCCACAGCCCTGCTCCCCACAGCCCTGCTCCCACAGCCCTGCTCCCACAGCCCTGCTCCCACAGCCGCCCTGCTCCCAAACAGCCCTGCTCCCACAGCCCTGCTCCCACAGCCCTGCTCCCACAGCCCTGCTCCCACAGTCCTGCTCCTCCAGGTCCACGGATTGCACAATCAGCCAAAATCTCAGAACAAGAAGAAAAGTAGAGACCTCGTCCCTAGATCTGAGGGAGGAGGCTTGGGCCCTGTCCCTCCGAGTCTGAGGGAGGAGACTGGGCCCTGGACCACTGAGTCTGAGGGAGGAGACTGGGCCCTGGACCTCCGAGTCTGAGGGAGGAGACTGGGCCCTGGACCTCCGAGTCTGAGGGAGGAGACTGGGCCCTGTCCCTCCGGGTCTGAGGGAGGAGGCTGGGCCCTGGACCTCTGAGTCTAGGGAGGAGTGCTGGAGCTTGGATCCCTGGGTCCCTGGGTCTGAGGGAGGAGTGCTGGAGCTTGGATCCCTGGGTCCCTGGGTCTGAGGGAGTTTTGGAAACTGAGGCAGGAGTGACAGTGACTTGTGCTCTCTAGTTGGAGGATCAGGGTCCAGTGTCTGATCTGGGTTTTGAGGAATGAGTAGGAGTCTGTAAGGGCACATGGGTATCCGAAAGGCATTTCAGCTGATGCTGGAGCACGAAGATGACTTCCAGGCTCCAATTCTCCACCTGGCACCAAGCAACTTGTTCAGGACTTAAGGCTTGTCACTTCTCTCTGAGCACTCCTGCCAGCCGAGGTGAAAACTGCTTAACAGAAGGCCACACTAAGGATTGCTGGAGGTCAAATGCTGAGCGGACATGACTGTGTGTAATTCCTTTCTTTGTTATTTTAAGGAATGCTGACACTTCCCCTCTTTTCTTGTCTTAGCAAACTCCTATTCAACGGTTATCCTCTATGATCAAACCCCTTTCTTATAGAAGTGCCCAGAACCTCAAATAGGGGATCTGCCAGGCAGCACTCAGGCACCTTCCTGCCACTTCTCCAGCCTCCCCAGCGGAATGCCATGAGGAACACCTCTGTCCAAGTGACCTCTGAACAAGGTATGCACTGGCTCTTCAGGATAAGGCTAGAAATTTCCAATCATGAACAGATATGTGACTCTGTTTAGCTCAGGTCCGTGCTATTTTAGTGACTTACAAGCACTGAGGCCAAGCCAAACTGGCAAGCAGGCCCTCTGCTGAATAGAGCCTGGAACAGCACCTTCTGTCCTAGAATACAAGGGCTCTCGTTAGCAGAATCAGAAATAGCCGCATGGTGGCGATGTCGGATTATCTTCCCAGAGTCTAAGTGGCCATGGAGTTGGAGTTTTAATTTGTGGAGCAGACTGGCCCTCCCGCCTGGACTCGCTCCTAGACTCTTCCCAAGCCTCCACCTCCTGCTGTCAGCAGAGTGGCCTCTCTCCAACCCGAGACCACCCTGACCCTCTCTCCTCTCAGGGCCCCCCCAGGCCTCTCTGCTATATCCTTAGTCCCATAGCTCAACCCAGTAATACGGTTACCCCATGACTGTCCACCTGCGGGCCCACAGCTGAGGCGAGCTTCGGAACATCTATTTCGCAAACACTGAGAGCATTCCTTCCTGCCTCCCCTCCTCACTCCCCAGGTGGGCTTGGCTGCTTAACCGCATAACCAAGTCAACCTTTGTGTCACCCACATCCTCCTGGCTCCAGCGCTTGACCGTTTATGAGGTCTCTGTGTCCTCAGAGGGCTATCAACTTAGCATTTCCTCAGCCGCAGTCTATCCAGGGCGGATGGATACATCTCAGGCCGGCGCTGTGGTGATCCACTGAGCTGGGGGGGGGGGGGTGACGACATCGGACTCCGCTCTGAAAGCTCCCCAGGGTGCTATGAATGGACAGTTGGGATTCTGAGGCTGCTCACTATTGGGAAGATGCTGAGCGCTTCGCAGAAATTCTTTCAGAGACCTCTACTCAGAGATGGAACTTTTTAAAATGTTCACTGTTTATTTTTAAAAATAAATACTTGCTATGTGTCAGAATTGCATTATGTGCTTTAAAGATTATAATTTAATTAATCAATTATTATTTCTGAGTCCAATTAGCTGGAACTCACTCAGAACAGACTGGCCTCAAAGTCATAGAGCTCTGCCTGTCCCTACTGGAATAACAGGGCGAGCCACCACCCTTGGCTTTTATTTTTAAATTACATGTATATGGTGGTGGTGGTGGTGGTGGTGGTGGTGGTGGTGGTGGTGGTGTGTGTGTGTGTGTCCATGGAGGCCAGAAGAGGGTGTCAGATCCCCTGGAGCTGGATTAGCATGCTGCAGACTGCCAGACACGGGTCCTGGGAAACAAACTAACCCAGTTCCTCTGCAAAAGCAGCAGGTGCCTTAACACTGAGCATCTCCAGCCTGAGAGTCAGTGGGAAACAGTTGGAATTAAGATTTTAGGGCTGAAGAGATGGCTCAGTAGTTAAGAGCAAAGGCCTGGGTGGAATTTTCAGCAAACATACCGCAGGCAACTTGCAATCCTCTGTGACCTCATTTTCAGGGATCTGACACCTCTGTGGGCACTGCACACACGTAATATACAAGAAATAATGCAGACAAAACACACACACACACACACACACATATATATAGGTTGGGCATTGGTGGCACATGCCTTTATTCCCAGCACTCAGGAGGCAGAGACAGGCAGATCTCTGTGAGTTCGAGGCCAGCCTGGTCTACAGAGTGAGTTCCAGGACAACCTCCAAAACAATGCAGAGAAACCCTGTCTTGAAAAAACGAAAACCAAAAGCCAAAACACACACACACACACACACACACACACACACACACACACACACACACACACACACACTATGTTAAAAAGTGTATCTCTAACAAAAAAGAAAGAAAACCTAGGGGCAAGGCCATGGCTTAGCCGGTTAAAAGTATTTGCTCAGCGGGTGTTGGTGGTGCACGCCTTTAATCCCAGCACTCGGGAGGCAGAGGCAGGCGGATCTCTGTGAGTTCCAGGCCAGGCTGGACCGACAGCCTCCAAAACAATACAGAGAAACCCTGTCTCGTAAAAACCAAAAAAAAAAAAAAAAAAAAAAAGTATTTGCTCGATAGAGTGGGGGCCTGAGTCTGACATGCCAGCTCGAGGCTGGAACCTAGCAGTTTTGTGCCAGGATGGAAGGCACACAGGAGAATCCCTGGGAACCCCAAGGACAGCTACTCTGGTTTACACAGTGCCAAGTGACACAAAGACACCTAAGTCTCTGTTTCATTGCTGTGACAAGACTGACTGAAGCAGCTCATAAAATAAAGCATTTAATCAGGAGCTTGCGTGTCGCTTCACAGGGTTGGTCCGTGTCCATCATGACAGGGAGTGTAGTGACACATAGGTAGGCATGGGCTGGGGAGGTAGAGAGAGCTGACCCTCCCTGCCCTCAGGCTCCCCAGGCTGCTCTGCCTGTCCTTAGCCCCATAACTCAACACCATGGCTTTCCACCTGCTGTGCCCCACAGGTATTTTACAAGTCCCCACTAATCCCCAGACAGAGAGGCAGCAGGGAGGGGCGAGGGGGAGGGAGGGGAGAGAGAGAGAGAGAGAGAGAGAGAGAGAGAGAGAGAGAGAGAGAGAGAGAGAGAGAGAGAGAGAGAGAGAGAGAGAGAGAGAGAGACTGGGCCCGGTGTGGGCTTTTGAAACCTCAAAACCCACCCCAAGTGATACACTTCCTCCAACAAGACCATGCCACCTCCTCCTCCTCCTCCTCTTCCTCTTCCTCTTCCTCCTCCCCCTCTCCCTCCTCCTCCTCCTCCTCCTCCTCCTCTTCCTCCTCCTCTGAATCCTTCTCAAATACTGCCACTCCCTGGTGACTAACACTCAAATCTATGAGCCTGTGGGGCATTCTCATCCAGACCACCACAGCAGCCTGTCTGGAGGTGAAAGGTAGGTTGCCCTCAGGTTGCCCTCTGACCTCAAACATGCATGCCGCATGCAGACAGGCAGTTTCACACGAATGCACACCCATCATAAACACATACAGAATAAGATTTTAAAATGCATTTATTATTTTTACTATGTGTCTGCACATGAGTTCAGTGCCCATGGAGAGAGAAGGGGACATCGACCCCCTTCCCCCCCCCCCAGCTAAGTTACAAGTGGTTGTGAGTTGCCAGGTCCTCTGGAAGAGCAGCGGATGCTCTTAATTTCTGAACCATCTCTCCAGCCCCAGACAAGATTCTGAAATACAGAAATGCCTGGGGGAGGGGCTTGCACACCCGGGTATTAGAGAAATATCTGGGGGAGGGGCTTGCACACCCAGGTATTAGAGAAGTGCCTGGGGGAGGGGCTTGCACACCTGGGTATTAGAGAAATATCTGGGGGAGGGGCTTGCAACCTAGGTATTAGAGAAATGTCTGGGGGAGGGGCTTGCACACCCAGGTATTAGAGAAATACCTGGGGGAGGGGCTTGCACACCTGGATATGGGCTTCTCAAGACAGAATCACCCCTAAGTGTCTGGTCACATATTTAACTTTATTTTTTGGAAGTTTCTGACATTACTTATTTTTTCCCTTTTCTTGCAAAACCATGACAAGACATCTTCCTGGGTTCATCAGCAAAGATTACAGCTGTCAGGATGAAACCATAGTCCACAGGGGACCTAGGAGATGCTTCAATTTGCACACCAAGTTTATAGTTTTGTTTGTGAGATCCCCAGAAAATTGTTCTTAAAATTCTTTAAAGTTTGCAGTTGACAGCTTTGAAAGAAGCATGGCCGCAGATACAAGGTTCACTGCTATTTTAATCTTCGTATTGAAAATAGCTCTGTGGAGAAGGAATACGGGTTTTCATAGGCAGTCATCAGAACAAATAGGTTTCGGTGTTTTCATTTTGGTTTTTTGCTTGTTTTTGGATGGGAAGAAGGTGGCCTGTGTGCCACAGCACTCACATAGAGGTCAAAGGACAACTTGTAGGAGTCGGTTTTCTCCTTCCACGGTGTGGCCCTGGGTATTGAACCCAGCTTATCTGGCTTGGCGATACCTTTCTTTACCCACTGAGCTATCATGCTGGCCTACATGTGCTAGAATTCTTGACTCTTGGCTGGTGACTCAGCGAGACTCTACTTAAATTTCCCCCTTTCTATCCTGCCTCACTGACAGTGTCCAAGGCTCAGGACAGTCAAATGTGTAAGCTGGTCATCCCGGCGCCAGAAGGGGCCCTGAGGCAGACGGACCATTATGTGTTTGAGGCCAGCCAGGGCTACAGAATGGGATCCTGTCCTTAAAAACAAACAACAAAACCTAGAGTTAGGTGCAGTTCACCTTTGGTGCTTGAGAAGTGGCATGGGAGGAGAGCATTTTCTAGAATCCCCCAGTGAATTGGTGCGTGGATCACTGGTAGAGCCCCCGCCCAGAGTCCCCCAGTGAGGGGTGGCAGGGCGGTTCCCTAGCATGTTTAAAGCCCTGGGTTCCATCCCCAAAGGGGAGGTGTAGTTACAAGGGACTTGGGAATTTCAAAATCCCAGAAGACAAGATAGTTAACACCTGACCAGAAAGCAGCCCCTCCAGAGGTCCAGAGCTGGCGGGTCTCTCTCCGGACCAGGTTTGTGCCAAATGTGTGGACTGTCCCAGCACTGGTACTGGGCTTTGGGCCTCAGGGACTTCTCAGCCCTGGGCCAGCAGGGGTGGCTGGTGACCAGGACACTCTTCCTGTGTTCATGGCTACCTCACACCTGTTGTCTCCCGGTCTGCCTGCCTGCCCCCTCTCCCTGTTCTTCCTACACCAGCTCTATTTACCTCATTGGAGCCTCCTGTCTGTCACCCCTGCTCCCAGTCAGGACCTCTGTCTGCCACATTCTGTGTGACTCCAACAGGACTAGCTGCTCTGCTCTACTAGGCGTTCTATGTACCCCATCTCTTTCTCTGGGTCTCTCTCTCCCCCACATCCTGTGCCTTTGTTTCAGCCAAGACAGGAGCCCCCCACCCCAGACTGTGCCCCACTCCCTCAGGCTGCCTCCGAGCCTCTCAGCCTCCACTCCTAATGCCTGGGGTCCTCTGCAGCCTCCTCCTCCTCTCCTTCCCTTGGAGGGAACCTTAAGGCCCGGCCCAGCCATCTCTGAATGTCCTTGTCCCCACACACATACAACAATGGGTTGAGGAAGCTAGTGGATCCCAGCAGCGTGAGTCCCAGCGGGCTCAGCAGCACCCACACATCCCCCAGCTGCAGTCGGGGCCCCCACATCCCCAGGAACTTGAGCAGCAGCAGCAGATGGAAGGGAAACCAGCAGATGAACAGCGTGGCTGCAGTGGCCCTTGGCGAGCTCAGCAACGGCGGCCTCCCCGAGACCCTGGCCAGCTGCAGCTGCTCCCGCACCACACTATGGAAGACACTCAGTATCCCCAGTGGCACCCCAAACCCAAACACCAGTTGATCCAGCTCAGGGCTCCAGGCCGAGGGGTCCTGGCCGTGCCTGGGGGATTCCAGGGTCACTGTCCTGTTGAAAGGGTCACTGCAGCCATTTCGATCCCTCGACGTTCCTAAGGCTCTCACGGCCAGGCCCAGAAGAAGGATCCAGAACCTACCAGCCCAGATAACTATCTGGCGGGCTATGCGATGAGCCAGTGCCCAGGATGGTTGGAGCAAGGATGTACAATGGTCAGCGGCCACGTGAGTCAGCAGCCGGCCACTGGCACTGAAAGTCAGGAAGGCCAGACGTGGGTCCAGGTGGCAGAAGGCCAGGCCCAGGGGCCAGCAGGTGTGGGTCCAGGTGAGGCTGAGAGGCAGGAGCCCTAGGAAGATGATGTCAGCTACGAGCTGGTGTCCAAAGCAGGCTGCAGACAGAGGGCCAGGAAGGAGGGATTCTCCAGCCTGAGCCAGCAGGCTGTGGCTGGCCATGTCCACAAGGTAAGAGACAATTGCCACCAGAGAGTACAGGAGAAAGAGAATTGCCCAGGGCAGGTACAGAACCTCCAGAGGTGCTGGCTGCTGCATCTCCACAGTGTCCTCCATGGGCTGACTGGAGCTGGAGGGACAAACAAAG